TAAAATTGCCAATTGAACAACAGGAAATGCATTCTATAAATTCATTTTAATTGTATTTAAAAAGCAATGCTAAATAGTTCCTTATTAATTAGAGCAGTATTTTCTAAAATGAGGATTATACTAAACATTATAAAAAATGCATAACTTTTATTTACTTTTAATATCTAGAACATTATTCTAAAAATGCTTTATGGTGTTAAATATGGGTGATTTAAATTTATTTATCCAATTTTGTCGTGCGATATTATCGGTAATAAATTAGATAAGTTATGTTTGCACATGTCTCAAAAACAAGCAAAATTTTTTTTTACTATTTGTTTGTTAGAATTAAGATTTTTAGTTATTTTGAAGCACAAAAATTACAGTTAAAAATCTCTAAATGCGTACACTCTAAAAATTTCCCCTGCCAGATTACAGTGTGCGATAAGTAAAAACTGTCCCAGTTACTATCACTGACATAAAAATTCAGGTTTCTCCTGAAACTTTTCCCCTTAAAAATATATGATCATAGACGGTAAATTAACGATATACTCATAATAGTTATCTTCAGTTCGCGTCTTAACCTTATTTAAAATTCAGGAGATATATTTGTCGAGTTTAAGTGAAACGTGGAACAAGGTGAAATAGTGTAGTGATGCCATTTTTTGAGAAGGGAGAGATTTACGTGATCGTTGTCACGAATATAGAGGAGTGTGAAAAAAATGTTCTTCGGCGCTGACTGTATTTGAACTGAAAACATTTGTGTCTGTAATTTGATGCTGTAACCAACACGGAAAAGCATATGTTACCAATAATTCAGTTAAAAAGAGCCGTTTCAAGTAACGGTCAGTTACACTAATTTTGCTGAAGTTCGTTAAAATTATGGGTACAGGGCTTTCTTTTCTTTCTCAAAGTAGGTAATTTTTCTTGAAAATTGACGGCCAACTTTTCTATTTTTGCGGACATTTTGAGTGGGATACTGAACAGTTGATTCGATGAAATAGGATAGAAAAGATGTGCAATATATTTTATTTGCTGCTAAGCCATGAACACGAAACAGTAGCTATCATATGAATCTCATGTTTTATTAGAAGTTAAAGTTGGACAGTAAATTTAAAATCGGTCTTTTATACAAAATAATTTTTTCTTATTTTTGGTGATTTTCATATGTTGAATTCTTTGGAAAATAATTTTAAATTCTGCTTACAAACAATTACTGATAATATCAATTACTGATTGTAATCACGTAGAGAATAAACAAATAAAACATCATGATTCAGTAAACATTACTGCTTTTAATGAACTATGAGACAAAGTGGTGAAAATATGTAAATATTAATAAGCTATAAAACTTTTGTTGGTTGTAAATCGAGACTTTCATAAAAAGTACATCAAGCATTATGTTCTCTCTAAATTACATTAGAATTACGCGAGTTTCTTACAATTCTTTGTTCTTTCTTTTCTAATCAAACTGTTTATTTAGGGTCCTTCAGATATATTTAGCCTCATTACAAAAGAATATACACTAAATTATGCACACATTTGCAAATTTGCAACACACACAAATATGAAGTTTATAGTTTCTATGAAGTTTATAGTTTCTATGAAGTTTATAGTTTTTATAGTAACTATAGAGATAAATTTTTTGTTAAAGCAATGAATGTCTTAATGAAATATTTTTTTGGTGTTTTAGATAAGCAGAAACAAAAAAAGATGTCTTTTCAAAACATACCTTTACGTGAAGATAAAAATGGATGTTGCAGTAATGAAAGTAATGTATTTAACTTTGAAATAATTAAATATGTGATAGTAGGAACGTGTTTGAACATGTTTGAAAATTTTATTAGGTAATTCAAAGCGACGGTCACTAGAGGAAAAAACTTATCACCCTCATTTAGTATGGGAAGGCACTGAAGAGGATACCGAGTGCGAAAAATTCAAACGGGTTGTTGAAAAGAAATACAAACGGAAATTCAGTAAGTGGAAATTGTTTATAATATACTGTAATCGTGATATCAATTATAAATTACGATAATCAATTATAAATTACGGTAATCAATTATACGTAATCGTGATTACAACTTCTCATAATTTTGATTACAGCAATAATCTTGATTTCAAGTAATAAAAACATATGATTAAATGTAATCATGATTACATGTAAGCGTGATTGCAAGTAATCATTGCGAGTTCACTCTCCGTCGGACAAAGACCCCCGTATAGTAAATGGTGACTGGTGCACGTTAAATCTGTCGGGTCTCAAAGTCTTCCATGTTCCCATAGCAAATCAGAACCTCTAGGGGTACTGAATTGGAGATTGATCTTTTTCTAGTTCAGGTCAAAATTACGATGTGTGTATGAATGAATGACTTGTGTGTGGCTGAAGTCATACTCTTGACCATAGATGGCGCCACTGAAAACAAGAAACGCACCCTCCACCTTAAATTCGCTTGGTTTCACTAACAGCCTTACTGATTCTGGTAAGCGACATTAGAAACAACAACAAGTAATCATGATAACAAGAAATTAAAGTATGCGATTACAAATGAATACGATTGCATATTATATTCATCATTATACTACACAGATAGTAAAATGTATTGTAAAATGATTTATTTTGTACGCATCAACGTATAGCCATGTTTATTCTATGTATGTACCCCGATAAAAAAAGTATATAAAATTAACAATGAAGTAATGATTTTGGTAAAATTAACAATGGAGTAATGATTTTGGTAAAATTAACAATAAAATATGGCTTTAAAATATGTGATAAAATTGTGAAAATTTGGTCAAATTTGGGACCTTCATTCTGATACCTTTGAACATAAAAACCCTTTATTCGTTTAAATTTATTTTTCAGTTATGTATTTTTTACTAAATGCCTGGTAATAGTAACTTTCATTTTGAAAACCAGAATTTTCAGTAAACCGTTAGCATATGAACAGAAAAATTACTAAATAAATGGCTTAAACACTGTCTATTTTAGTTTTATTAATCAGAATTATGATTTTTTTAAAATCAGAAATGTGATTGCTATACAGTACGTTAATTTTATCAGAATTTTTTCGTGTACTACACTCAATGTATATACATATGCCTATAACTAAAATGTCTGTACATGTGTAGGTAATTAATATTTAAGTAAGAATATATGTGCATGTATTGTATATACGGGCGTGAGCACATGTAATCTTGATTACCCGTGTTCTCAAATTTTGATTACATATAGACATGACTACATGTATTCATTATTTTATTTATTTGTAATCATGATTACCTGTAATCATTTCTTGTAATGATTACATGTAATCACAAATCACATGTACGCAATGCACACGCAATCAGAGATCTTATGTAAGCAATACACGCGTAATCAGTGATCATACTTGCAATCGAATTTACCTGGTATCACCATTACAAGTAATTGATTACATGCAAGCAATTATCTTGTAATCAATTTCAGTTGTAATATATTTTTTGTGCTATCGACGCCAGGATAATACTTTCATTTATTGAAACAAAAATAGAGATTATTTGACGAATGATTGAGAAAACTTAGAATTAAAAACATAAAATCTGAGAGGAAACAATTTTTAGAAACACCGTTAAAATTTATTTGGTTGTAAAATGGATTTCAATGTTTTCCCATCTGTTTTACTCAATAGTGAATAATCAGATTTCGAAAACGTTATCGTTCTTTCCTCACCTAAATATTAATTTACGACCTGAAATGTACATACTTTATTTTATTTCATGGACCTTAAAACATTCCTTGAAAGCATTGTTAAAGGAATGCTTTATAAAAGGAGGGGTAAAGTGTGTGCAGTGCACATGGTTGATATGAGCATTCTTGCACTTTGATTAGCTTTTTATTTCAAAGCTGTATTTACTCACATTCACAATATGCACAATTTCATTTTCATCTGATTTTGCCATTGCGCTTGTTGTTTTTGTTTATTTAAACATTAAACTTTGCAAAATATTCGTCTATTATTTCGCGTGTTCGTGTGAAATATTCCAGAATTAGTTGAAAAAGAAGTTTAAGTAATATTTTGTAGAATGAAAATACATAGTTTTTATATATACTGTTGAAATTTTATTAAATCCATTGAAAATTGAAATAGTTACTCAAAAGTATCTGTAAACAAATCTAATGATGTGTAAAAACTTTGATATACGTATATAATAAGCAATTATGAAATAGTTCCACATTAGGTGCACAGAGGAAGAATATTCTGGTAAAATTACCGTTCTCAATGGTAATGACACTTCTGGTAATAAAAAAAACCCCTACAATTCTGGTATTAAAAAATCAATTTATATACTTGTCTCTGAATAATCATGATAACTATTTAAATCATTTATTTGGTAATTTTTATATTCATATGGTAACGGTTTATCGGAAATTTTGGTTTACAAAAGTATAGTTCTTATTGCCACACATTTAGTAAAATTAACCGAATAAATAGTTTTTATGCTATCATCTAAGGTATCGTGATAAATTTATCAAATTTTACCACATTTACCAAATTTTATAGTGCATTATAAAACCACATTTTATTGTTAGTTTTACCAAAATCATTACCAAAGCAGTTCGGTAAAGATTATAACGCTTTTTGGTTGGTGTAACCATAGAGCTAGAAGCATGGTAAACGTTAGTATATTCTGGTAGTTTTGCCCAAACTTTTTTTCTCAGTGTGTATATTAATCTCACTGTTTTCTATAAATATAAGGTTTTCTTCTGTTCAATATTATAAATAAGAAATAATAATTAAAGTTAGCATAATTTAGTCAAATATTTTCTATCTCAAATAATGAAATATTCTGCAGAAGTTGAAAATTTCCATGAAAGTTAGAAGACTCACTCGGACTGTTTCTAAGTATTACTAAAGTCTACTGATTTTCTGTAAGCAAGCTGTAAGAACTATGGTGTAACATCTTTTCGAATATGATGTTAAACAACCCAAAATATTGTGTGAAGGAATGCTTTTTTCCGGGTTAGCACCAAATCAAGCATTAATATACCATTTAAAGGGTATATTTTAAATCTAAACACATAAAGTTGAATAAGCTAACGCTTAACTCCTGCGCTTTCACACCATACGAGAATTATTTTTCATTCAAAAACACATATGTTGGCAAGCTTTGAATTTCGCCAGTAGTTTGTTTACAATCCAGAATGAGTTGGAGGGAGTTTGCTGTAGTCTTCTACGCTGGTATTTATCTACAAAAAACAAACCATTGCAGCAAAAATATGTATGAATGTTTCAGTTGTGTAGTAAGTATAATTACACTTTAATTTTTGAATCTCTAAAAACAGTATTAACTGATTTTGTAATGTATGATTTCTATACGCTTACGCTCTGTTAAGCCTAATTCGGATTCATTTTAATAATATCTCTGTTCTACACGTATGTTTGGTTTACTACCTAATTTATATCATATATATTTATAAATTATTTATATCATATAATTCAACTGTATAGATGCACTCTAATTTAATGATTCTTACATTATATTTTTACTGACTCTTGTGTGCTCTTATCGTGCTGTAATAATGGATTTTAAAGTTACTGAATAACAGAAATCATGACTGCTACTTCACATTAAATAGTATGAACGAATATCGTTGTAGTGAAATACTTGTTCCGAGAATGTATGGCGTTTCACTTCACCATTTGGATGTTAAGCTTTTGCCATCATTTTCGATGTTGAGATACACTAAAATTTTTTACAGTTTATAAAATTCACTGATTTAGATTAAAAACAAAAACTTTTCTTTTTTAGAATCAGACAGAGACTTCCATAGATGGTCAATAGACAAATTCGAAGATTATTGGGAAACTGTTTGGAATTATTTTGATATTGTTGCATCAAGATCTTACAAAAAAGTAAATACACGTAACATTATTTGCTTAATTCCATTAAAATTTAATCGATTTACTACAAGCATTTAAAATTTTATTTGGAAATTTACCAGTAACTTTGCACGATGAAACGTTGATAAACTATGTCAATGTGTCTAAACTTTAATAGAAAAATAAAATTTATGGAATTATATTTTCTTATTTTTTATGAAAAAGTATCAAAATCATTGTTTAAATATCATTATAGTTTAATTCATTTCAAATTGAACTTCAGTTTAACTTAATTAGTTGAATTTAGCTTACCCAATTTTAGCGTTAAAATTGAATAATATTATGGTTAAACATGTTCTATAAGTTCTAACAGTGCACCATAGATAAGTTCGCAAAGTGTCATGAGACAAATGATTTTATCGAAGGATTTTCGTAACTATTAAATATTGAACGATTTTTATAGTCGTATTCTTCAATTCAAAATAAAATTTGTACTAAAGTTTGTATTGTAAACATAATTTAGCTTTCGAGTGTTGTTTATGTTAAAATTTGATTAGGATTTTAGGATAACTTAGGTGCTTGAATTTATTTCTGCGAAATTTTAGGTATTTTTCAAGACTGGACCTGGTATCCTAGACAATGATTGGTTCATGGGGGCTAAATTTAACTACGCTGAAAATCTAACGAGGTACAGAGATGATACGACAGCACTTATATATGAAGGTTCAGTATATGTCTTTATCATACGTATAGTTGTAGTTCATGGCTTCATATATCCTTCAATCTAATAATATTCTATTTATTAATGATATGTTGTTGTTGCTTATCCTCTTAATCTGCCATATGTCAGATAAGATCCAGGACTCCGCTGACCGTAAGAAAATCCGCATCAAAAAGAGGATCTGATGTAAGATTCACCTTAGAAAGTCCATGACAAACCAAAATATGTTCCAGCGAAGCTGGTTGAATACAGTATTGTTTGCTAGCAGGGAAGATCTTTCTGCCTCCCTCAAAAGTAAGGCACTTAAGATGGCCACTTGCAAATCTGGCCATAGCAGTCTGGGTTCTGGGTTCTTAGGTCACATTTTATGTCCGGCAGGGTTCCAGGGAATGTCCTATAATACCATTGGTGTGTAGATGGTATACGCCCCAAAATATGAAGCTTGGATCTTTCAATGGAACAGAGTTCCCTATAAGTAAGTAAGAAGCCAGTGACTGTTTCGTCTTCACTTCCCTCTTACGCCAATCTGTCCGATACCCCATTACAGCGAATATCCAAGCGTGATGGGATCCATTGGAGGACATCCGTGCTTCTAATGCACATTGGAGGACCATCACTTGAAGAACCATCGGAGAACATCGTGATTCTCAAAGATTGTCCTTAGTTTGGGCAGAATAGAAACGCTGGTTTTGTCGCTTGCAAGGGACCAGCCACTTATTACAAATCTCTCCTTTTTATTTCTCACTCTGACTAAAAGAAGTGGTAATAACAATCGGATTTATTACTTTAACCGCAGGACATATACAAGGAGGCACACTCATCTCCCAGTGTTATATGAATCGTTCAATCACATTGATCAAACTTCAGTGGTTTTTATTAATAATAAGTGGTTAAAGTGAATAATTTAACGATATTTTTCACTTTGACAAAAAGTAGCAGTTATTTTTAATACAGATCGGTTAGTATTAATAATGACCGGATTTATTACTTTAACCGTAACATAAACACTAACACCTTACAAAATATAATTAATCAATTCATTTTAATAATAATTTAAGATATTTCAGTAGAAGGAAATGGCATTAGCGAAGGATCGTTTTTCATTTTATTATACTAGATTAAATTTATATCCGTGCTTTATTTAGAGAAATATCTCTGAAATTCACATCTTTTTTTAAATTAGTGCAATTCTTGACATTTTTTCTTCAAATAAATGTTTTTTATTAATCAGATGAAGAAGGGAGCACAGATTCTGTGTCATTTGCAGAAATGTTTGAAGAAGTTAAAAGATATGCAGCAGCGTTTCGCATACATGGAATCGAAAAAGGAGATAGAGTTGCATGTATGTATACAATTATAATCAATTTTAACTTGTGATTTAACTAAAGATCCCGTATCTAACGTAATTAGAGAATTTCGACTATCGGGTAACAGTTTGTGATTGGTTGAGACCCAAACTATATCGAATAGAAAGGAAACAAAAATTTTCCAGTAGATTTAATATGAAGAGATCGACAAGGTATCTTCATTTTACAGAATCCTAAAATTATAGCTATTTATACGTTTTTCTTGCATCAAAAATTGATCATAATTCTTCTAGATATCCATTATATGTAAAATACATGTTAAATTTATTTTTGGAAAAAATTATTTTTTGAGAACTATGATAACTTTACTTGGCACTTTTATCTAGGTATTAATACCATTTATACTAAAAAAGACTTATTTAATTTTTGAATGAAACGTTAACTTTCTGGATGCGAATTTTTTAAAGTAAAAACTAAAAGTAAAGTTATATTTAAGGAGCTGAAACAATCAATTGATAATTTATGCACCTTTGTTGTAGTTTGACGTGTTCTTTGGTTGTTATAAAAAACGAATTTCGATTCAGTTCGCATAGTTTTAACGTGGAGCAAGTAAGCGAGATTCGAGGGATAAACTTCACAAATTATGATAACCCACTTCAAACAGATTTAAAGCATTTTATCGTATTTTTCTGATGATGATACATATAGATGCTCTAGATTTTACTCCAAGTGTAACTAAATGTTTCCTATGTAGCCAGTAAGTTCCCCCCTCCAAAAAATTAGTTTTCAATACAAAAACAGAATTTAGAAAAATTGGTATGCCTTTTTATACACGCGGCAAAAACAATAAATTATTAATTAAGAAAAATAAAACTAAGATTAAAAAAAATCAGTAAAACTAGATAAAACTGATAAAATTAAAAAAAAATTACCCCTTTCAGGAATTTTATTTTTTAAGTAAACGCGGGTTTCAAGAACTGGGAACTCTCTAATTGCTGTTTATTCATCTAATTTGTTTTTTTTTTTAAATATATTTTATTTTGCATTACAATTAAATAATATCACATGGTTTTTTTTGTGACTTTAAAAACTTAGTAAAATTTTTGATTAGGGCACAGAATAGTCACTTTCGACTTAAAGCCTTCAAGTTTATATTTCGTCATACAAATAATGAATCAAAAAACATATTTATTCTCCAAGAAAGCAAATTTCAACAAACCTAATTAGATTCAAATCACTTAAAAGCGTATTGCAGAAAACTCTATCAATCAGTTCAAATAACTTAATATATTATAAAAGCCTAATTAATTAGTTAAATTATCTTCAAAACATACTGTGACAAATCTAATCAGTTATTTCAACTCTTGTAAAATTCTTTGAAAATGTGTTAAATTTGTGTCTATTATAGATTAAATTTGATTTTCTTATAATATTTTGCAGTATACGATACATGTTATAGTTTTTCTCAATTAATATTTCAATTCAGTTGTAAATTTTACGTTTGCAAATTTAAAATATTTCTTTTTTAACATAGGTCACATGTCCAACCGAAAAGAAGCTATTTTTGCGATGCTCGCTACATTAAGTATTGGTGCAATCTGGGGAGGTTCAATACCATATTTCGGAGCTTTGGTAATACGAATGATTTTACTTTTACATGCTACTTTAATAGGGCGCAGTGTGAAAAATTCTAGGATTTACTAAAGTGGCTTAGTAATTTGTTTTACAGCAAAAGCTCAGTTAAGGATGAAATGAAATAAAATTAAAACATATTTCGGATTTGTAGCTACCACTATGGAAAAAGCTATATTTTAGCAGAAAAATTGGGATTTATCAAAATGGCTTGGCAACTTCAAGGTCTTATAGCAAAAGCTTGTAAAAGGCCGAGTTGGAATAATATTAAATCATATGGACCTTTAGAAAACCACTTAGGTTTTACCGGTAAAAGCTAGATTTTACCGGTAAAACCTAAGATTTTCCAGGCGTCGGCAGGTTTTTAACGGTAAGACAAACTCTCTCAGAAAATTATTTAGCTTTAAACTATAACATGTAGCAAAATTGTGTGCAAAATTGTGTGTAGCAAAATTGTGTTGTAATTTCATTAAAGTTTTGCGTTGATCAATATTCAGTATAACGTTGAACCATAACATAGCTTGAAAATTTTCTGAAACCTCATTAACCTCTTCAGGACCGTGATCACTTACATAACTAAAAAAATAATTTCAAAACAAAGAAGTGAAAAATTCTTGCGGAAAAACTAAGATGATCACCGCTTTAGACTATCTTACATAAGCGAACTCCAGACCAAAAGGGCCGGGGTTCGATTCTCGGCTCCGTTAAGACCCACCAAGTGCAAACAAAATATACGCGCTCGTAAAGTCTGTGGAATCAGAAGTTCTGCGGTCGGTAGCTGAGGGTATGTATATAGGGAACTGGAGACATTTTCTTTTCCCTTTGGTTCCATGTCTAAATCGAGGAAGTGGCCTCACGAATAAGTGATGCTGCCATCTATCTGTGGGTATCAGAGCTAAGAAGTAATTTCCCCCTTGCAGTGCTTTTTTGTCAAACGAAAGGCGCACCTTCCTGACTTAATTCGCAAAAGGTCAATGGCTGGTGAGTTTGGCTTATCAAGTGTCGCTAGAAGAAAACAACAATAACAACCTCATATTGGTTTGGTAAAGCGTAGAAGCTTTTTTCTAACTCAAAGAGAAACACACACGCACAACGTTGAAAAAAATAGAAATAAGCATTTTAAGTTCGTTAAAAAGATAGAGATAAAGTAGACTTACCATTTCTTTCAGTAAAAAGTTACAAAAAAGGTTACTATCATAGTGAGTTACTGATTTACTTTTGCAAACTAATCTAATAAACAGTCTATTTCTACATGTAGGAAATGATTTAAGATAAATTTTTAATAATATTTTGTTCGAAAGAACCATTTAATTTTTAGTAAAAATTCATAGGCTGCCGCGAATATTGTAAGCAGAATGGAACCTAAAATCTTAATTGCTGTTGATCGCTTTCAAGATAATGGAGTGGAGTTTGATGTTCTTAGCTGTTTGCCAACAATTGCTCAAAGTATGTGACAAATTTTAATTTTACTGTCAAATATAATAAAAACAATACCATAATGTGACATATTTTCCCACTACTTCTTACAGGTTTAGACAAAATTATGGAAGCACTTTTACAGTCCTCAACTCATAAAAGATTTAAACTTTTATGATATATATAAGAAATTTCCATGACCTAAACACTTCTAACAATTTAAATTAATTTTCTTAAGTATTTCTTGAGAAATATGAAAAAATCAGCTGAGATGTGTTTCCATAGTTTTGCCCAACTCCTGTAATTGAAACACATGATGTTATAAATTGATCATTTTACTTTAAGTCTTCTGTTAGAGTGTTTTCTTAACAAAATTTTCAATTCCTGAAAAATATTTATTATGAACAATTTTATCCTGAGCAATTTGAAAATAAGTACAAGATAATTTTTAAAAAATTTCCAAAGTTACAGCAATAATACTGTAACTCGTTTTCTGAAAGTAGAAAATAAAGCTTTCATTTTTCAAACTGTAATCATGTGCATACTCAAGTACTGTTCAAAGTTAGTTATTAAAGATTTTGTGTATAAATTTTTTCCCCTTCAATTCAAATATTTTAATCCGGTGCGCAGGATTACTTGACTTTTCTTGACTTCTAGTAAATCTATTAAGATTTGGTAATTTGTTTGAGTAAAGCATGTTGCATAAATTCATGCTATTTAATTATAATTTCAGTTTTCAGTCAAAATAATTTTAATTTATAAACACCCCAAAAATTAATTTATTCTTAAAATTTTTATTTTTTTGGTTTTATTTTCTTTTTTAATTTTATTTTTTTGCTTTTTTCTAGAACAGTTTTTAAAAAGGCTCTATTGACTGTTAAAAGTTGTTTCAAGTTATTAACGGTATTTTTATAACTTTTGACAAACTTATAAAACGTCATAGCATCTTTTTTCTTAAAATATTAGCTCTAAAGTAAATTAAATTATGTAAGTTCCTTGCTACTAAACAATGTCTGTGCTCATGTTAAGCTCCTGTAAATAATTCAGAATCTTATGGTAAAATTTAGATAAGTTATAGAAAGTTGAAGATATTTTCTCTATAAATTCAAAACCATCAAGACCCCTTACATTTTTCTTTCGAATGCCAGATACTGTACTCTCATTCTTTTATCTTTGAAGATGCAAGAGGTGTTGCTCATTTTCGCACCAGAGGACAATACACGGAGAGAAACATCCACCTCGAGCGGGATTCGAACCCGCTATCAATGGCTTCGTAGTCAGGCACGCTAACCACTTGTTCAACAGGCCGGCATACTGCTTAAAATATTTTTTTCTCTGAACTGCTAACGTAAGAGTTCTACCTTAAAAGCTATCTTTAAGAAATAAGAACTGATGAAAACTTTTAAAAAAAAATTTTTTTTACAGTAGGTAAACTGAAAAAAAAGAAACATCTTTTAAAAAAAATTAGAAGAAAAAGCAGGTGAAAAGAAAGGTAAGTTAAACAAGGAATAAGATATTTGAACAGGCTTAGATTTTTGAGAGCAATAGTTTTTGAAAGTTTCAGCAAAATCATAGAAAAAAAACTGTCGCTTTAGATCTACATTGTTCGAGGGCGTTTTGTTTATAATATTAACACCACTCACCTTATAGCATTCTATTCATATTATTAAAATCTAAGTATATATTCGCATTGTTTAAAGCTATATGCATTGTTTGAAGTCTCTGGTTTATTCCGTTTCATCTGTGTATAAGTGCAGTGAGTATAAAAGGTATTAATCGATATTCGTGAGTTAATGATAATGTATTCACTTTAAATTTTTTTTCACACTTTTCCAGAAATGTAAATGTTATCATTGAAATATTAAATCCTGTTTTTTTTTTCAGATTCAACCACTTTAGAGAAAATTATCATTGTACCCTCACGAAGTTCAACGTTGTCAAAGAATATATCTAACATTAAAAATAGGTGAATTTTCAAGTCAACATATGCATTTGTTTTCCTTCAAAATAGCAGTTTCACTGATGATGTTTCTTTTACTAATATAGTTGTACCCTTAAAACAATATTCGCATATCGAATTTAAAGATAAAAAATTAAATTAATGAATGATTAAAGAAATAAATAAAGGATAATTCCTTTCCTTTTCCCGTCCTCTGCTATATTTTACTTTATCAGTCTCTATTTTTTTACCACTTTACAGATTGACAATCCTTTCTTATATATANCAAAGGCATTTCTGACGGAGCGAAAGATCGAACTGATGGGTCATCCGCCGTACAGCCCTGATTTGGCACCCAATGACTTCTTCTTATTCCCACACATCAAAAATAAATTACGTGGACAACGATTTTCGACCCCCGAAGAAGCGGTTGATGCATTCAAAACGCATGTTTTGGAGTTACCTCAATCGGACTGGAAAAATTGCTTTGAAAATTGGTTCAAATGCATGCAAAAGTGTATTGATCATCATGGAGAATATTTTAAAAAACAATAAAACCAATTTCGATCCCACATGTTTGTTTTTTCATTATTAGGCCAGAAATATAAATAGCAATCAGCGTATAAGAGATTAGAAATGAAAATTAGCATTATGTAATTTCCTTACTTAAATATCAGTTCAAAATTTCTTAAAAATCCTAAAAAATTTAAACTATAACATATGGGACTAATACAAACCTAACTAAACTTGGCACCATTTTTACTAACTTCTTAAATTAAATTAATTTTTCTTGGATTATTACTAATAATCAACCGATTTTAGAATTTATTAAACAAAATAAAATTAATTCTATTTCGACTATTGATTTCCAGGATCTTTTCATTGGCATTCCCCTTTCTATACTAAATGAAGTTCTTTTGAGTTATTACTATAGTTTTAAAAGTATCCTGATTTTGATTATTGGGAAATTTTAATTAATTTTTGTCTTTTTAATCATTATCTTCACAATGGAAAACTTATTTTTAAGCAAACTGATGAAATCACAAATACCACAAAGATCTAACTTTTCTTCTCTTAGCAAACTCATTTTTGCTTAGTTAACATGATTACGAAAAAAATTATACTCTTAATATTAAATTTGTTTTTAGATTTACTGACGGTTTAATTACCTTTAATTCACAAGATTGTACAATTTTGTTAAATAATATTTATCCCCAGGAATAAATCTTGCTTAGTAATTATGATGACAATATTAATTTTAATTTTTTGGATTTAGGTATTAAAAGAGAAGAAAATATCTGCATTGTTGATTTATACGATAAAAGAAATGATTTCAATTTTAATATAAATAAATTAATTACTTGCAATTCTAATGTTTCTAAAAACATTGGTTTAAATACATTTTTAATCAAATGAATGGAATCAAAAGAATACGTAATGATGTTTATTTATCCGAAAAACAAATAGACTAACTCTTTTAAAATTTAATGAAAAACAATGGATACGCAATTAATGTAATTAAGTTCTATATAAAATCATTGAGTTAATTGTTCATTGTGTTGATCATTCAGTTGAACTATTATTATTAATAAATTCACTAAAAACTTCTTTGATAACTGAGTTAATATTTTTACCATGTGCAAATCTGTGGTTAGAAATCTGTGCAAATCGGGCAAATTATGTTTCTATTTTTTAAAAAATGTTACTTTTCTAAAAAGGTTAAAATTGTATAATTAAATATCAGCCTTATTAGTTATAAACTTTAAATTATTCAGTAAAATATTATTGCCTTGAGAATATCCAGTTTCGAGGCAATCCATGGTAACTACCAAATCAAACGAGTTTTAGTTCTGCAGTAAGAACGCGCCATGAAAAATCCATACATCTACGCTGCTAACCTCTATTCAAGCTTCAGTTTTCATATTTTGTAATCTGGCAATCTTATTACGAAAGTATTTTAAATCATTTCTCAAAGATTCCAGTAAGTGTAAGTTCATTTGAATGCGCTCCTCGCTTTATAGATTACGTTTTGTGTTTTGTTCTGTATTTTTATTTTCTTTTACTTTTTGTTTTTTGCTTGGTATGTTTTATTTTGTATATTTTTACTTAATGTGTTCTATTTTGGCTTCGATTTTTTATAGTGCTCCTCACACTATAGTATTCACATATTTTGCTTTGGCTATATTAATACAATATTAGAAAGCACTCCTTTTTGTGGATATAATAGTGTGAGCTGATTACGAGATTATATCTTTTCATTATTTTGTATTCCGGCTTCTTAAAAATATTTTATTTTAATAATTTTTCCTCCTTTTCTTTCATTAATCTTTATTATTATCAGTATTTTCTCCATATTTTTAACTTATTTATGAGATTTATATAAAAATTAGGTATGAGATAAGTTCAAAATGTAGAGAAAAATGACAGAACAATGACAAAAGGGAAAAAAAAGAAAAATAATAAAAATAACAAAATAAAAATACCAAAAACAACCATTGAAATAACAAAAACCGGAAAAAAATTTCTGAAAAAAAGACAAAATTTTTAAAAAAAATCCGGAAAATAAAAGATATAATCTTTTTATCAGCTCACACGATTATAGTGTGTTAGAGTGCTTCTTACACTATAGTATTGATATATTTTGCTTTGGCTACATTGTCACAATATTAGAAAGCACTCTTTTTCACGGATATAATCGTGTGTGCTGATGAAAAGATTATATATTTTATTTTTCAGATTTTTTAAAGATTTTTTGTCCTTTTTTTCATTGTTCTGTAATTTTTCTCTACATTATATTATCCACACACACATATNTGAAGAAATGTGACTATGTGTTTGTATCAAATACTAATTTTGGGAATTCTTTTTAGGTTAGTGACTCAGTAATATTTATCGTATTTTAACTTATTTAACTTTCTTAAGCCATAAAATAAGTATGAAAAAACTAGCCTGCAGTTTGTGCAATTTTAAACAGAGTTTAAATCTTTTTATTTTTCACATAAGAAGTCTTTTTCCACCCTCACCTTGTGATATAGAAACTTACATATGTAGTTATCTCTTACGATTGAGAATCTTAACTAAGTGATAATTTAATTCTGACATTTTAGGGTAGGTAAACCATGTGAATTATGTAAATCATGGAATTATGTGACAATCTCATATGCACCACTTTCAGAAAATAACTTTATTATGTGTTAATTAAAATATCCTGAAGTGTTTCCTACTTGAATGTTGAAAGTGGAAGTAAGTTTAGCATTTTGATAAGTGTTTCGTGTTGTCATGAATAACAAAAAATCAATAAATAAAGTTTATTAATGGATCCTCTGATTCAGTACATTTATTAAACTGTACGAAATGAACTTTTATGTGAACTATTTGTTTAATACTTTGTTAAATGTGTGTTGCATTTTTTAGGAAGAAACAGATGTACGGTTGCGAGAACTATTGGAAGTAAGGATGTTGATTTATTTTATTATACTCTAAATTTCAAAGTCAAAAATAGTTTTATTCCCATTTTTATTTGTAGCTAAATATTTTATTATGTATTTATATATGATGTTAAATTTCAAAACTATAAGTATCACTACTTGCCTATAAACCTAAACACATAAAAATATTTTTGTTATATTATTCCATGTAGAAAATTGAATAGTTTACGATGAATTCAGCCATATGTAACCCCCTTATAGTGCTTGTTTTCTTAGGGTAAATGTGAATTTATTGACCCAAAGGAACCTTAGTGATCTTTCTTCTTGCTTTTTGTATTAGATATAATTTGTATGGTAAAGTATCTTTACTTTGGGACTCTTTTTTTAATTTTTTTTATGGAATACTCTTTGAAAAATAGTAGAAAATGTTTTATTAAAAAATGAATTTTTATTTTCTGTACAAAAAAAAAATTTATATATATATATATATATATATATATATATACATGTTTACCAAGATTCAAGTTCTAATAAGAATTTACTTGCTTGTGAGTATCGATTTAAAGACAATCGATAAAGACAAACAATGGTTGAATTTGCAGATGATTTCAAATTTGAAAATGGGGAAGTTATTTTCTGTTAAAATTGAGTGGGTATCAATATTTTTGTTAGACTCGGTATTTTAAGTATTATCTTAAATTTTGTGCCAAATTGCTCCAAATAAAACAGTTCCTAACATATATTTTTTTTCGATAAATTAAAAATTTTCTTCAGAAAAACCTTTTCGACCTCTTCTCTTATTAAATTCTTAATATGCACATTTGAATTGAAAGTGTTTGTGTTTCAGACGGGCTGGATTCCTATTCTTATGTTTGCTCCATGCCTAGCTCTTGGAGCTTCTTTATTTCTTTATAATGGAAGTGCTTTCTTCAAGAAAAGCTCACGCAACTTTTGGGATGTCCTTTCAGAGAGTAAAGCTATCTATGTGTTTCTAATTCCCAGTCAGTTGGATAAATTGGAAAAAAGGAATATAGTCCCAAGTAAGAATTACTTTGAAAACTTCATTAATTGTATTTTAACTCGTAAAATTGTGTAAGCTCAGTTGTAACCCTTTAACGCAGAATTTTTTATTAAACTGAATTTTCTTATTTTTTTAATTATTTGCATTAATTTAAGTCAAAATAAATGAAAAATGTTCTATTTATCATTTACTTCTATTTATCAATTAATAGTTAGAAAATACAGCAAGAAACACCGATGGCTTTTTCTATTTTAAAGATAATTTTCTTTCAAACACGGCTCACAGCAAACAATAATTTTTCAAATTCGCACCTATTTGCAGCTATTCATCATTGAAATTTCTTTAATTTCCAAAAAGAATTGCTGATAAATTTTTGAATATGGATTAAAAATATTTTTTCTAACTACTTTTCTTGGATTTTATATTTTAGTGCAAACCCGATATTATAACAGAATTTTTTAGTAACCATTTTTTTGTAATTAAGGAATACCAAAATATATTTTTGTTTCTATTTAGAGCGTCAGAAAAAAAGATAATAGGAGCACCTGTGTGCCCTCTGCGTCATAGGGTTAAAGTATTAAGAGTGATGCGAAAGCAAAAATATTTATGCAGCGTGGTCCTGGAAAATGAAATGGTCACTATACATTATGCAGAGTGTTTTGAAACTCATGGGCATAAATGTAAAGGCTGATAGAAAACATCCTTACAAGCAATATTCACCATATAATGTAAGCACTGTAATGGAAAGCATAAAGAGCGAGTTTTCTTTTTTATTTTCCTTTTACATCGTCGTTTCTACAGTAGAATTCAGAAGGCATGGCGACGTACAGTAATTAGAAAAATGGGGTATTTAATGTATAGAATGGGGTATTTAATGCATAGAATATGGGGTATTTAATGCATAGAATAGGGTTTTCAATGCATAGAATGGGGTATTTAATGCATTGAATGGGGGTATTTAATGCATAGAATGGGAATGCTCAGCTATAGAAAAGTGCTCTGGGAGAGAAAAGCCAGCATTCTAATCTCCCAACTATGGCCACAAACGTAGCCCAATTTTTAGGGTTCTATCCTTTAACAGTTATGGTAGGAATGCCATGTAATTTTGACCCTGGTCAGACGACGTGGACAACGCATGAGCTGGGAACATCTCTCCGAACTTACACACCACAACCAACGAGAGAACTTTCTGCCACGATAGATTTAACTTGACGTGCACCTTGATGCATATAAACGCTGATAGTTTTGTCGGCTGTCCCGATCGAACTCACTACCTCCATCTAGCAATGCAGTTGATTTAAAATAATTAAGGACCTTAAGTTTTTAAAATGGCAGAACTGTGTTTTTTTCTTTGAATCCAAAAATATAGAAAATGAGGACAGTAAGAAAAGGTGCGTACTGATGGATTCAGACGAAAAAAAACAGACAATTAGAAAAAAAGAGTGTCAATTTTAAAAGTATTGTCAAAGAAAAAAAAGTACTTACCGCAAAAGTGAATCGAAATTTAAATATACTGTGTTTAAGGCATTTTAAGTGGATTACAAATAAAATGAACAAAAAAAGTAAAAATTAAAATAGTAAAATAATTCTTACTCCCATACATAGCTAATATCAATTACTATTTCTCAAGATTCCTAACTGAGTTCTTTTTCTTTTTTTATCAGAAAAAAATTTAATCTTAATTTTAAATGATGACTTTACATAAGTGGTAATCATAATTTTTGCCAAATAAGGAAGAAAGATTCATTTTCTAATTGCTTAAAATTATGTCAAGTGAATCGACATTAAAAATATATAATTTTTACTTCTTTGTGTAAGAAAATTAAAGACTTAATATTACATCTACATTGAACTTTTTATTTTACAGTTCTTTCTGTTCGCATTTACTACATACTTATCCGTTTTGGGTAAATATTACTCCAATAATGAATGTGATTTACAGCAGCCTGTATTTTCTTTGCCTTTAGAACAATGCTATGTATAAAATATGGTACTATCCTCAGAAAATATTATAATTTTAGACAACTGTAATTTACCAAAATATTTGAGGGAATAAATATCTATTTATTCATTAATCATGGTTTTTTTTTTTAAAAAATGCATATGCTTATAATATTTCTTTTTTTTTGTTACGTTTTAGGACCATCACTATCTTTTGAATTCTTGAAAGTTATTGCACTTGGTAGCTGTCCCGTGAAAATTCAAAATGTGGAATATTTGTATACATACCTTCCTAAAACAACATTTATATCAAGCCTCTACGGTAAACTTCCGATCACCTACTATTTTATTGTTAAACGGTAGTCTGTTTTTTCTATTTCTTTTATGTGGTTGACGCTTGTTTTTAATGAGAGTAGTTAGCATAAAGTTTTGTGAGCTTTGAGGAGAAGTGAAATGCATTCAATGTTTCTTTCTGTCTTTTTTCTGTCGAATTCTTTCAATGTCAATAATGCAGAGACTCTAATCAATATCAACTTCTGGGATCGCTGGCAGAAATTATGCGGCATGGTGGTGGGCAACCTTATTTTCGCCTCTCAAACAAATATCAGTAAATACAAATATCTAGTCACAGTCTTTAGATGCTTTGTATGTTTTGAGCCGTCGTGGCTCAAAGGATAGAGCACTCATCTCCCAATGAGGTGACCCAGGATCGAATCCCAGCATCGGCAGGTCGATACGAGTTCTGCTCCCAGTTCGTACCGACCGCAATACTGACGCAAAATATCCACAGTGGAAGACGGATCATGGATTAGTATCCCCAAGCCGCCGGATCAACTGTGGTAGGTTATCGTGATTTTCTTCTCCGTGTAACGCAAATGCGGGTTGGTTCCATCAAGATGCTCTCCACAAGGACTAGTTTGTCCCGATGCTTGATCCAGGAGTTTTCTTGTCTTCTAAATTGAGCTCAAATTATCTAGGCTACGGAGCTGAACATAGTCGTAAATTCAGAATTGTTTTGGCTGTTCAACGTCGGTTATTAAAATAGAATGAAATGTTTCCATGGAGCTGCAGATCTATTCAAAGGTTTCTGCTATTAGGCTCATGAGAACTGATTAATTTAGGATAATGGGAGGAATTCTTTAGGAGCATTCTCCAATGTCTAGTTAATTTATTATCATTACTTATGTATGTCAGAAAACATAATATGCTGAGCATCTTTTGATAATAAATACCTTATGATTATGCATAAAAAATGTATGTATTAAATTATTTTAAAATATTTTATGACAATACAAAAGCTAATTTTATATTTTATATCGTGCATTAGGTTCAACGGAGTTTTTTGGCAAAGCTTCAGGATTTTACTTAAAATCTCCAAGTTATGCTGGGGAAATTCAACTACCAGGATTAGGAATCGATATTCAATGCTATAACGACGATGGTATGATACATGCTCTTATAATTTTTATTATCTACTTTGAAATAAAAAAATCATATTATTTTTTATAAAACTACGATATTTTGAACTTTTTTAACGAAGTTATCCTCTGACAATATAATTACCTTCTAGAAAAATTACGCTAGAAATAAAATGAAATGGTCTTTGCTTCTTTCAAATTCAAGATATTGGTTGTTTTTCTTAAACGAATCAAATAAGTCACGTGTCCTTTGATTGTTTAGATAAAATTAAAGCTAATTATTTTTTAAGTACTGTGGATGCAATCCGTCACACAACTGCTGCTGCACGGCTCGGGAGACCCACTGATTAAAGGTTATAATATATTTATTATCAGTCATTTGATTTTACTAAATATTTCTTAAACGATATTTTTTTTTCGTTTAAAAATACAAGGAGATGATTTTTTTTAAACATTTCCTAACTAAAAATTATTTTTCCTAATAACAAAAATGTGCGGAAATGTTCAAACCTAATTTTAAATGAAAAGATATAAATTATAGTCTTTGAGAACGCACAACAGCAAAGCGAAAGAGATTGAAGGTATATATCCTATTAAATACGTTACCTAATTCCTATGTAAATGTTTACATAAAAACACATGAATAAATGCAACAAAACATGTATTCCTCTGTATTTATGTAGCATAATGTCATTTTTAGCTGTTTTATCACACTTTAAAAAGGTTATTTTCGTACAGTATATGCAACGTATTCGCCGAAGAAGAGTATGTATGGATTGAAACAACATAACCTTGCTATTATTAATTATAAAATGGGTTTTCGTTTTATTAACCAAGTTTATTCTATAGCCTCACTTTCTAAACATCCTAAAACCAATGTTACATTGTAAAAACTAAGGTACAATATGTCTTTCAATTTGATGTTGATCAAACCAAACTTTCAATTTGATGTTGATGAAAAACATTGTGTTTTTAACATTGAACACAATTGGAAAACACTGAGCGCTATTTCAAATTAACAAAAATAGATCTATCATATACAATTTAATGGGTGTAGTTAAATCTAAATATTTAAAGTGGGCAAAGATTACACCAAATTCACATGCCTTCACACAATGAATGATTTATTTTCGCCACTTTAACCACTTTAAATCGCCACCTTTAAACACCTCGCCACCCACTGTAACCACGTAAACCATTTTAAATATCGCCAGTAGTTTCTTTACATCCAGTAAGAGTAGGCGTTAGTTTGCCTTTTCCTTCCACTCTGCTATATAATATCTACTGATACAATAGTCGGCCATTAAAATATGCATGCGCGCATTTAATTGTGTAATAAAGATAATTATATTTTAATTTTGAGATATCTGTGAACTATTTATATTAAAAAGTTTTATAATATTTAATTTCTATACTCTTCCGTTTAGTAAAGCCTAGTTCGATTTCACAAAAAATGAATTTTATTTTAAGAAATTTTGCATTTCATGGGGGTATACACATTCACTCACAACAGCAGCGCCACCACCTCAAACTTCAGAACTGTTTTAGCGCTCAGACGGAGCAGTCATTTTAAAATTCTTCTCAAATTTGTTAATTTTTTATCACTAAATTTATTGTTTTCCCCAATGAGTGCTCCTAATTCTTGCTTAATATACCAAAGGATACTCTAGATATATGCAACCTAAATTTATGATTTTCACTTTATATAATATCGTTACAGTAAATTTACTGATTCTTATGTGTATCTATCATATCCCACTGTAATCATAAATTTTAGTGACACTGAATAATGGACATGGTTGCGGCTACATTGCAAGTACTGTAAAAAAATATTCCGGATGTTTCACCCCCCCCAGGAACAATCTATCCTTAGTTCTTGGTGTAATGAAACACATAGTGGAATACCACTTTGAAGTAAAGTAGTTGCCACCAATTTTGGTGTTCAGATGGTCGAAAGTTTTTCACAGTGTAGTTGTCAGAACTGTGGGCCCCTCAGATGTCGGAGTCCACAATAAAATGAAAGTTGATTAAAACTTAAACATTTATAATTGAAATTAAATTTTAATCTTGCTTAAAATACAAAAAAATAAAAGGTTACATAGATTAGTCACCTGTTAGCAGCAACGTGCTAACTTGTTGCTTTTTAAAAACATCAACAAGGTGTGTAGTGGAAGTTGTAGATTTTTTTTTATTCCCAAGACCATTAAAAAGTTATATTGCTATATTGCTTCAATTCAGATAAGTTCACACTGTCGGAGAAGCTCACACTGCTTGGTTTATGAGTGTTGTTGCATTGTAGGCAGTGTATCCCACAAGAACTACGAAAAATAAATTTGTTCTTTTCGTAGACTGTGAGCAAAACCTTCTGAAAATGTATGGTAAAAAAATAGCAACACTAAAGGCGTCAATTCATTTCATGGTAAAGAAAACGTTTTAAAATCAGATAAAATATGTTAAAGAACCAATCGTCACTGTAGGTGGGGGAAAAAGCTATCAAGGTCCTCTCGACTTTATTCTAGACTACTTTTCTTGTAGTGATACTTTTTATAGTAATATTTAATCCAAACTCTTCCTGAATTTTCTACACTATATTTTACATAGTCCAGCCACATTAATGTGACCACCACCTACTTTCGACGTCAACGTGAAATAACCAATCACAGAAGGCAGGAGGCAGCACATTACAGTGGAGTGTATATAAAGGATGTTCTAGGGCATCGGAAAGCATTTCAATCGTTGGCGTAATGCAGAAACGTAGAGATTTATCCGACGTCCTAAAGGGCATGATTATTGGCCTTCGGGCCAAGGGTGGAAGCATTTCGGAATCTGCTAATTTTGTGAACTATTCGCGTGCCGCTGTGGTAAAAGTATACCGTGTATGGCAAAATGGCACTATCCAAAATCAGCGGTGTGGCACAAAGAACACTGAATGATACACCACGCTATAGATGACAGAGCACCACGCACCACGGGCTATAGATGACAGAGGCGAACGAAGGCTACAGAGATGCTTTCGGGCGAATAGACGCGCAACTGTTGAGCAACTGACCTCCTTGATCTACCAAGGGGCTACCAAGAGTGTATCCTCAACAACGGTTCAGCGAACGCTGACTTCCACAGCAGACGCCTGGTTAATGCTTTTGACAAGTGGTCACATTAATGAGACTGGACTGCGCATTTTACAATCTAAGGCGATGTCCATCATACGTGAGTCGTTTGACAAGTCCATCATTTGACTAATATTCCAATACATCCAGTTATAGAGTAGATATTTATATATATTTGTCGACTTATAACATTTCTGAATAATATCATATTGTAAAATTGTAAATTTTGAATAATTTTTATAGGATTGCCGGTGATTGGTGAACTTGGAACTCTGGTAATTTCAACACCGTCTCCTTCCTTACCAACATACTTGTGGAAGGACACGGATCGCAGCGTTGTAAACTCCAACTATCTCTCTCGTTTTCCAGGTTCATACCAGCTCTTTTTTTTTTACTTGATTTTTCACATATTTCAACAAAATATATACGGCTATACAGTTAGTGTCAATTACGGTTTGCGCAAGTTAAACTTCATTCAAAAATATAGTAAACTCTTTTTCTAGTCTGATTAGAATCGAAATAAAATTGAGAGCGAGATAATCCGGTTAAAGGAGGAAGCAATTAAAAATTGGTTTCCGTAAATGTTTGTGTAAGGGGCAGTCAAATAAAAACCCACCAGTCGGTATAAATTTGGATTTGTTGTTATTTAAAAGTAATTAACGGAAGTGTTAATAAGTAGATGGAATATGAATTCCAGTCTCATAAAAAGTGGTAGGTCGCTGACGGACTCACAGCCTGAACTATTCTTCCACTTTTTTGTCTGAACAAAAACGAAGTTTAAAAATGTCTTTGTACAGGTCATCAAAAATGCGGAAGTCATAGGGAGAAGTATAACTGCTGTACGGAAGGTGTTGAGGTGTCTCCCATCCGTCTGTGAAGCTATACCTCACCAGATTGGCAGAATGGAGATAGGCGTAATCGTGCAGAAGGATAATTCCCCCCAACATCATTCCAGAACGTTTTGATTTTTTGGAGAGTCACAGTCTCTTCTGCCATTCGTACCCACTCTGCTTTTCAGAAAACATGTCTGTCACAAATTTCACAAGAAAAATTTTATTTTTCTCGGAAAAATTGTGTATTTATTATTTTGCCATGGTCAAACAAAACAGACGAATAAACATAAATAAGATGGTATTCAAACTGTTAACTGTACGAAAAACCGTTTATTAACTGCTTTCAACTAATTAAAACAATCAGAACAACCGACCAGATGAACAGAAACAACACCCCGAACCAGACAACCGGAACAAACAACAATCAGACCCACCAGAAACTACAATAATTTTAGCACCCCTACTAGACCCGGCTAAGGAATCCACTTATTTACTTTCAGATGGGTACACATTATAGCCTAGAATATCAATCTGTCAGTCTCATGTCCCACAGAACGGGGGTTCATGCCCCAGCTTTAACACTACAATATTTTCGCCATTCTCTTCAACATATTAGGAGTTTTCAATGTCCTGGGCACTCTGGGCATTCGCACTCTCCAATTTGTGACCCTGGGCTATTCGAATACAATACTCTCATTCACGCGTCGATGGCAGCCCCATAAAGCTTCTAAACTCTCTCCAATGTCCAGTTTAATTTCTCTTTTCAGGTTTTGGAACCATGATTGTTGTAAATGGTTAAAAAACCGCATAGTTTTGTATTCACGTTTTTTTTAACCATACAAGTTGTAAGCGGTTTCAAAACCGTAAAGGTAAAAAATGTTCTTTACTGTAAACTTTACGGTTAATTGGATGAACTGACTGCTGCTGGTTATTTTACCATAATTTTAAAATATAAATAGTAACAGCGCACCGGCAGCAAGCATGTGACAATGAATTCTACTTATTCCAGTACCCTCAACCGAAGAAACGACTCAACCTTTTGTGTTTCTTAGCTTTCCTTTATTTTCTATGCTAAATGAACACTTTTTTCACTACGCTTTTTTCATGACAATAAAAGAAATAACTTAATATATCTCTGCGTTTCCGCTATGAATTTCTCCTATTTTACAGTTGGGAATATTAATATGCCACAACCAGAATCACTAATTTTGGTGGGGGATATATTTTAATTTTGTTTCTGATTGCCCTTTATATTTACGAAGAACTTCTAATTTAGAGTTGAAATAGTGACAAAAATTTAATGAGTGTGGCACGTTAAAACTGATATCCGGTTTACACGTTAAAACTGTTATCTGATTAAATAAAGAATGGTTATAAGAGTGTGTTTCGTCAAAGGGACATTTTTTTAAACAAGTCAGTAAATTTAGTTCATTATCTCCCGCACATTTCATTATCTTTAATTGTTCAATTCGTGTCAATGACACGAAAGTTTCAAATGCTGTAATTAAGTAATCTTTGTGAATCTGAGGAAAAAAATTTATAAACGCAGATTGTGCTGGTATTGTAACTACCCGAACATCATTTATCTATTAATTTTGCTAAGTTATCAGGATGAGAATTTAGTGGAGTAATTATTTGTTTCTTTTCAGGTGTGTGGTGCCAAAATGACAATTGTTGGATTAATCCGGTTACAAATGGTATTTTGGTAAAAGGAAGAAGGTACATTGGACGAAAATTATCGTTTGTTTCTAAAAATACCAACATGTAGAATGTTCATAATAATTAAACTGAGCTTACTCAGAGGTATCTGAGCCTAATATAATAAGTACAAAGTTTCAGAGTTATCTCAGCCTCTGTAGTTTAATGTAACAGTCGAAGTGGCATTGAATTCGGTAAAGAAATCAGAAGCAGTTTGAGAAAGAATATCCCATAATTAAAAATAATAGCTCTAAAACTTACCAATAGAGGCAATATAGCGCTGATGGTAGAAAAATATTAAATTCCCGCAGTGGACTCATCGATAAGACACGGTTCTCAGCAGATCACCGAAGTTAAGCATCACTGGCTGCGGTCAGTGTGCGGGTGGGTGACCACTTGGATCAGTCTGCGTAGGGACCGAGGGTGTGTGGTATTGGTTCTCGTTAAACTGTGCTAACCGTAAAGTGCTCGACTCCGTGTGCAGGTCATCGGGCTACCGAAGCGGGGGTGCCATCAGAGCATCAAAATTCAGAGCACCTGCAGAGGATCAAAATTGTGATGGCATGTCTTCGGATCATCCTCAGGGATGTTTCCCAGTAAGTCGCCAATAGCCCATTGTGCAGCTCTAGTGCGACGTAAATTAACAACAACAACAACAACAACAGAAAAATATTGAAGTAAATTATGATTAACTAATAATTAAAATTGAAAAAGGAATACGAATGATAAAAAGACTTACGAATCAAATAAATACATGCAGGAAAGCTTATATAAGAGCCGACCGGCCTGTGTAGGGGTCTGGAAACTGGCCTTGCATTAGAAAGGTTCTGGGTTCGAATCCGGGTCAGGCATGGATGTTCTTTCATTCTCTCTACTATCTGTCCTTACTGTGGGAGCAACGTTGGCTCATCTAATATGGTGCCCCTGAAAGAGTGGCCGACAAATATGCCCTTCAGATGCTTGTATGACGAGAAAGGTCATTCTCCACGTGGGCATTGGAAACAAAAAGTTCATATAACATAGTTAAATAAACAAGGAAAACTTTAATTGGTCCTGGCACTGTGGTGAACACTGGTTCAATGATTTCCCACTATTTAATATTGGTATCAGATTTGCGACATAAATTCTGTAATTTTCCGGCCATTACATAGCATTCAATTTCATACTGTTGATTAATTCAGAAATAACTGGAGAAAGTAGGGAGAAATTTCGGCTGGAGTGTAATCCATCAAACTACGCAAATAAAAAATCTCTCAATAGTAAAAAAATAGTAAGAGTCTCCATTGTTTTGGGTGATCAATTTTCCGTTACATTTTGTTACGCTGCACAAAAACAGTAAAAGTTAGAAACTTGAAATTACGATGATGTGTAGTATATATATGATAGTGTAAATATGTTTAACACCTCATAATTAAACTAAAGCAAAAAAAGGCAACGTTAATAAAGCACAAATGGAAGTACATAAATGGACATACTATAGTTTCAGTTCTATAAACAAGAACCTTCTTAGGGTATAAACGTCAACTGAAGGTAGAGAAGTAAAGAGACAAACACTTTTGACAAACGCCTTTGTCGCATCTCTTAAATATATCGAGAACTGTTAGCTTATAAACATGTAGTAAAAAACACCCTGCAATCCGTTTTGCAGCTCAGAAGAATGCAACTAAAGAGTTAAAATGTGTTGATCTGAAAGGGCAGCGTTTATTTATGAACTTAACCTGAGTTTTTATTTTCGCAACTCCACTTTGTTCGAAAGTTATTTCAAATTTGAGGACTTTTGTGAGAACTTTTTCCTATTTTTTTGCTTTAAATATTAATTATTTTGGTATTAAAAAAACTGTCCACAAAAAGTAGGAACGATAGGCTAACATTTCGATATTGTAAACAAGAATCACAATCACAGTCACTGCTGATTTCATTTCATGTCTCAGCAATATGACTTTTAATTTATTTTTTAGTTTTGTTTTTGTTTCATGTGCCATTGTAATAACACCTTAAAAAAACTGAACAGTTATGAAAACTGAATATGCCCAAGACATGTTTAAATATTTTCTTTGAGAGGACATTTCTTTTTTATTCCATGAACTCAAATACTAAGCAAAATCCCAATTTTTCCATTTATTTGTTTCTATTAAGCTTTTAAAAATGGCTATTAATTTCTTTATTAAATTTGCTATTTACAAAATATTTTCGTATGATATTTTTCAAGCTCAAATTTTTTATACTTTAACAAACTTTCAATTCCAGTGACGATACGTTCGTTCAAAATGGGGACCGTTTTGGACCTGGAGATATTTACTTTGCAAGTAAGAATTTAGATTTACATTTTGGCAACGTTTGTAGATTCCGTAGCTGAAAATCTAAAAAGAAATATTTGTAAATGTCTATAAATTTAAGGAAGGGAGCATAATTAGATAAGTTCCCCTTTTTCTTAACAGCAGAAACAAGCAATTTCTTTAAGGTTTAATAATTTAAATTTTTTAAAAAGACCAATAGATATGAGAAACATTTCTAAATTTTGACTAAATGATAAAGTAATAAAAAAATATTTATAAGACTCGAATTGAAAAACAAATAAAAAAATTAATTTTGTAAAACGTTTTACCAGATTAAATATATTTAGATGCTTTAAAACTAAAATTTTTCATTTAAAATTTTTTATATCAGTTACTAATTTTTTATTTAAAAATAATTCAGTTAACTACCTTTTCAGTTCACAATATCGATGAAATAGTTGACTACATCTGTGTGGCACAAAATAGAGTAGATGGTGATGAAAGAGTTGTTCTGTTCGTAAAGATGAGAGAAGACTGCGAGTTTTCGCCTTCTTTGAGAACTAAAATCGAACAAAAAATTGAAACTGAATTGTTTGAAGATTGTGTACCAAAAGTTATCTTTCCAATAAAAGATATTCCAGTAAGTATTTCCATATTTAGTAAAGATACCATTTAGTACCATTTTAGTAAACTTTAGCATTTTAAAAGTAAAATAAATTAAAAATGTTTAATTAATTAATAAATTTTTTTTTTCTGTTTCGTTTCTAGTACAATATGAATAATAAAAGAATGGAAAGCATTGTACGAAAAATATTAGTGAACAATAAAGTACCTGATGTTGTTAATATTAAGAACCCTGAATGTCTGAAGTATTACTGCAATATTCCAGAAATTATGAGTTACTACAAGACAGAAGAAGATAAAAAAGGTAACTATCGAGTAGCTGTAAAGGTAGATCAAACGGTTCCGATTCAAGCCCTAGTTGATCCCTGAGCAGGAAAAAAAAACCTGCGTTAATACCGATGACTTCTTCTCTGTATATTAAAAAAATGTTAGAGCCGCTGCTGTTTTGGGTGTTCAACTTTATATTATATTTTGTTTTTTTTAGTAACTTGAAATTATGAAGGTGTGTGAGGGTGAAATTACGAAGGAAAGATTACGAAAGTTACGATCGCATGTGTACTGGAAGCACAATATAATTTTTTTTTATTCGATTATAAGTTTAAAAATGATTAAATGTTAAAATTGTAGGAAAAAAATCCATGCGGGCCCATGTGAAGGTCGCAGGACTGCAGCTACTGAGTAGGAATTTGACATGCTGAACGGGCTATATTTGTTTTTGAATTTGTTATTTTGTTCATTTACAAAATTTCATTTTGTTTAAAAGTTGTGCTTTTTTTCCTAATTTTTGGATAGGTAATATTTTTACCACAGTTTTTACAGAGTAGAAAAAATTATGAAGTTTTAAATGTTGAAAATATGTTTTCAAAATATCAAAATGCAAGCAAATTATCGGATAACTTCCCCACGGCTAAGCAATTCATAATTTATTTGCCTTTTGATATTTTGACAAACGTTTTCAGCATTTAAAACGTAATGACTTTCTCTAGATTTAAGCCAACTCGCTTTTTCTATACTAATTTTAGATTTCTTGTAAAGGGGAAATAGAATTTTCTCTGAAGAGTTATTTCCTCGATTACATACGTCCTCTTAAACATACAATGCTGTTCTACGCCACTATGAGTTTAAGGGTTGTGTATTCGAACTATATTTGTGTCATATGTAGTGTTCAAAATGAAAAAAAGTGGATGTCTTTAATGGTTTTTGGTCTAATGATTGGATTTTCACGTTTGAGGGACTTTTATCTTACACATGCACATTAATTTGTGGTAACGATACTCTAAGTTACGAAATAATGCACAAAAACGAACTTTCTCTGAGTAAACTCTTTTTTCAAACGATTTCTAACCGTCAAAATACGGTGGATAACCGCAATCTAGAAAATAATGTTCCAATAGTTAAAAGAGGAGAAAGGTCAAAAGTTTGGACCCCCATAACGTTAATTTAACTTTCTGCGTATTTAAAAATACTTTTTACTTGGATCTAAAATGTTTGACCACAATTATAAAATTCATTTAATCAGAGATAATTCTATATAAAGTTTTAGAATCATTTATTACTTTTTACTATGAACTGAAGGGAAAAAAATTGGCACCAAATTATTCTATGTAATATTAAATAACAAAATTCAAAATTTGAAAGGAATTGGTTGCATAGTTTTTGAGAAATAAGAATTTTGAAAATATGACTTCTTTAAGATGGCAAATACGCAAAAGTGAAATTAACATTACAGGAATCAAGCATCCGATCAATCTCCTGTCTAAATTATTGAACCATATTTTCTGGGTTAGGCTCCTTTCATAATTTGAGGACTAAGATTCCAAATCCGTCGAAAAAATTGTATGTTTACCCAGTAAAAGCACGTTTTTGATGGATTCGTAACTTAGAGTATCGTCTGCACAGATAAAGCTGCAAATTTAAAATTAGGCCTTCAAACCATTAAAATTGCGCAAAACTACGTACTGGTAGTTTCGCGCAAACGCATAACTAAGCTTATTTGATCAAAAGTTATTCAGGACGTTCACTTATTTTATTTTACGAAAAATCCTTTTTTCACGAACGAAATTAAGTTTAAATTGCTTTTATACATATGTTAATCGAAATTTTTCTTTTGCAGATTTGCTTGTTCCTACTAAAAATTAATATAAACTGGAGTCAAACATTTTTGTCATTTATATTATACCTTTTAATGCAAATTGTACAAGGTATTGAGAAGAGAAATTTATTTCAGATGTTGAAGAAATTGTGTAACATGATGTGTGACAATCTTTTATAACATGTAATGTTATAGTATAATGCTAGAAAAGTAATAAAATAATTAATTTCTGAAATATATAAAAAAGCAATGTTTTTTATTTTAATTATTGCTTTTATAAGTAGATATTGCAATGACTACTCCTTAAATTATTCTGAAATATTCCACATTTTCCACCACTGTTTTTTTTAAATTATTTTCCTATTTTTATTTTTTTTATTCATTTTTTTATATCCGTCGTTGAACAGCCGACCCAATTTTTGAGTTTACGACTACTAATGTTCAACTTCGTAGCCTTGTAATTTTTAACCAATCCAGAAGACAAGGAAACTCCAGGATCAGTATCCCTAGAGGTATTGATTTGCTATGGGAACACGGAGGACTTTGCGACTCGATAGATTTAACGTGCATCAGTCAACATTTAATTCACGGGAAGTCTTTATTTTAAATTAAAAATCTTGATTAAGTGCTATCGGCAACTTCATTGCCTAGAAAACGAAGAAGATAGTTCACCATTTAAAAGTGAGCCCTAGATGATTATGTACTTTCCATTCAATTAACCGTAAAGTTTAAGATTAGGAACACTTCTTTGCTTTTACGGATTTGAAACCATTTACAACTGGCATAGTTAAAAAACCATGAATACAAAACTATGCGGCTTTTCAATAATTTACAACTAGCATTTTCAAAACCGTAAAAATGAAGTTTAGCTGGATATTAGATGTAGATTATGAAAGGTTTATTGTTAGGTAAAGGACATTGGAGTTAAGATGTGGTTGAATTGTGTTTTGTCAAGTTAACTGTGGAATTTCTTAATTAGTTTATCTAGTGGTGCCATCTATCGTGACGTGAAGCATATAAAAAAATCTAAATAATTTTTATTAAATCTTATTAAAAATGTTCTTTCCGGCTATCATACCATAATTTAAACATTTTTAAATTAACACTTATGTAATTACTTTGGCATGACATATGCTAGAAGTTAATTTATTTGATAAATGAATGTCTAATGTAATACGTGTTAATTCATCGTATGCACAAAAATTGTGTAATTTTTTGTGCCGATAATTTTCGTTACAAAAAGAGATATTTTAGTTCTTTTGGCGTCAATATTAATTTATTCATTTAGTTATTTATTTTTATTATTATTATTACAAATTCTAGGTCATTCTTGTATTGTTTAAAATTTTGTGCTTACACGTTCTTCAAAATGAATTCATTAAAAAAAGATAATCACATTTATTTCATCGATATTGCTTTAAATGCGATAAAACAAACAACGAGATACTTATCAAGGTCAGGAGCAAGAGTTATTTGTTTTACATTTGTTTCTTTCAAAATTATCTTTCCAATAAAAGTCATCACCAAAATATTAAGAATCCTTTTGAGTGTTAGCTTTCACTGGAAAGTGCAATTCCGGGACAAGGTTAGTCTTTTTTTGGTTCCAACATCAAATCTTAGTTTTTATATGAATATTTGTTGCTTCAAATATTACTTAAAATATTATTACCTCATCTTATGGAATAAATCAATGAATCAATTTGATATTTAATTTATAAATATTAACTTTAGTTTAAGTAAGAGTTTAAATGTTTCTAGTTGATAATCCGAATTTTTCTGAAATGTTCTATTCTGATAACTAACTTTAACTCATATTCATGACAGAAGATCCAAGTATTTTGAAAAGTTATTGGCATCAACCGCAGGCTAAAATCGCAAAGCCTGAAATCATACTGAAGTAAAAAGAAAAGAAAAGAAATTCTAAAGAAAGCCGAGCCTTTTATAAAATCTGTTTTATTCTTTTCCCTATCGAAAGACCAAAATAAGAATATGAAGCAATCAAATAGTTGCCACTTCCTTTAACCCATTAACGATCGGTTAATTTTCAAGAAAACGGTCAAAAAAGTGCCTATTTTTTGGCTTTTGTATTTGTATTACGTATTTGATTAGTGCTGAAATCTAGTTTAAAATAAACTATCTACAATTACCTTAAAAAATATCCGGGTACTGCCATCTGGTGTGCAAAATGAGAAATAAAATGTTTTCCGGGCAAAAGAAATGAATTAGTTTTATTCTTATTGGCGCGTTACTACTGAACACTCCAGCCTGGAAATATCACGGGAGTGAGAAATAAAGGGCGAAACCCAACCCAGTCATTTTCACGGGAGTGAGAAGGAAGGGATTAAATAAGTGGCAAATCAAACTGGGTATTGTGCTAAAAAAAAAAAGAGATAACCATAAGTAACTTTTGTTCTTATGACATGATTTTCACAAATTAAATGCGAATCTTATCACATTGAATATGTTATCAATTAGTGCTATTAATTGATTAAGTTCAAAAACAGTCACAAAAATTTTCTCTGAATAAACAGGCTTTTTTTCCGACTATTTGTTATTTCAACCATCACAATGAAAAATGGGAATAGTTGCAATTTGGTTAGGAGAATTTTCAAAAGTTTCAGTACTTAATTTTACTTTTCGAGCACTTTGCTATATCTCGGAAAATGTTTATGCGAATCCAAAAATTTTTCCACAAAATTATAAAATCCGTTTATTCAAAGATAGCTCCATGCAAAAAATAAACTTTAATAATTATTCATTGTTTCATATATTTTTTTTTAAGATAGGACGAAAATGTTTTAAATCAAAATGTTCGTACTCAAAATGTTTTAATCAAAATGCTTTGAGTAGAATTTAATTGATAAAATACAAAATTTGGGCAAAATCGGTTTGATAGTTTTTGAGTAATAAAATTTCAATAAAGACATAATTTTAAACCTTTATTTCTCAATAAATATGCGACAAATTTTGTCATTAAAAACTGCAGACAAGTTTAAAATGATATAAAAATTTTTCTGCCTTACAATTCAATATTTATTCCATCTTTATAAAAAAATAATAAAAAAAATAAATATTTGTTAAAATATATTTTTCACATCGTATTATCTTTGAATAAAGTGAGCGAAACATTTTTTATTTGCTAAAAAAAAAAACAAACATTGAGTTATGAAGAAATATGCAAAGAGAAATTATGCTTTTGTATTTTTTTCAAATTAAGTACGTTTTTGAGTTTAGTTCTGTAACTCAACTAATAGTAAGCTCTAATTTAATAGCATATTACGTTGAGCTTTTCAATGGTTGTGATCAGCACTTAGTAAAAACCTCATCATAAGAACAAAAGTTATTCATGAGGATATCTTTTTTATTTTAGCACAACAGAGAAAAGCAACTTTTGGTCCTTAAAACACCCCTTATCAATTTTGCGCAGAATTATTGTTAAACATATTTTTCATACCTTTTTCATTATTTTGTATAAATGTAGATCAAAATAAGTGAAAAATATTTTAATCATTTATGGTTTTAAAGTAAAATAAGAAAAACACAGGTATCCTTTTTTGCGTTGAAGGTTCCAACACGGTTCAGCGAAGTATTCTAAACACGGCTCACTTCCAAACAATAGTTTTTCAAATTTGCTCTTATTAATAGTTATTGAGATCTAAGAGAAATAGTTATTCATCTTTAAAATTTCTCTTATTTACAAAATCAGTTACTGACAAATTTTTAAATATGCATAAAATTTCTTTTTCCAGCTACATTTTATATTTTATATTTCAATACAAATATAAATCCAAAAATTTAACAATTTTTTTTATTAATTGTTAGACTTTTTTTTATAATTAATGAATAAAAAAATATTTTTACTTGTAATAAGGTGTTAGAAAAAAATATATAAAAGAGGCATCGGTGGCCAATCTGCTTCAAAAGGTTGCAACTCAAAATTGAATTCCCCTACAAGATGACAATTGATGCTAACAGAAATCTTTCGATATTTCGTCATTGTCAAGATGTCAAAAAATATGCTTAATTATAGCTTCTCAAATCGAAAAATGTTGTGGTGTTGTTAGTGTTTACACATTCTAGTTATAGCCACCATATTTTTTTCATCTATTTGAATTAAAAAAATGTGAACAATTAATGCATTTCGCCGGGAAAAATTTTTAACTTATTTCCCAGGTATATACCTCTGAATAATAAATTATGTTTATAACTGAAAATGAATAGTTATATTTTGGTGTGTATTGCATTTATCTATTTTTTTAAAGGCAACAATGCATCTAACGTGTTTATATAGGATTCAAATGTTTTTTTTTAACAATTTTACATTTACTTATTTTTAAAAGGCAGAGATACTTTTAACGTTTTTACTTAGGATTTGAGTCTTGCCGACTCAGAAATGTTCAAAATTTCATTGAATCTATAATAGATAAACATAGATTTTATGGGTGGACAAAATAATGGAAACAATTCTATACCGACACATTTTTTCGTATTTCTCCAGAAATACTTAACGAAATATTTTAAAACTCCAGAAAAGTTTAGATTATGCAATTTCTCAAACATATGAAACATAAAGTTTTCAGAGGTTTGAGAGTTCGACAATAAATTGCAAATGGAAAATAATGTACTAGAACACCTTATGCAAAAATATGTAGTAATAGCTCAGTAATTTATGACAATTGTTTTGGTTTTTATATTCAATAATTTCACAAAATTTAGTGAGCCTAGCTTAAATATTTAACGAGATATGGAAATTCTTATAGGAAACTAATTTTCTTGTCTTACATTTTTTTTGTTAAAACTTTGAAAATATTCAATAAAACTAGACAAAATTTTAGAACATTTTAAAATTAATTATAAAATTCTTTCTTTAAAATTTGAAAAAAAAGTTCGTTTGAAACTGCGCAAGATGTAAGTAATTAAAGTAGTTCTTCTTTACTGTGCATGAGCAGGAAAAATTAAAAACTTTTTTTTCTTAATTTTGTAGAGAATCGTACTTAACAACTCATGAAAAAAATCCGATTTGAATATCTTAAAAATTAAAAAAGCTTCTTCCAATTTTAAAAGTAGTTATCGTACTTTTTTAAAAGGCAGCTCAAAATGATAAGGGGTTTTCTACAAATATTATTTTATTTCACGAGACAGAATTTAATAACAGATGAAAATACCTTAAAAAATTTTCCTGCACCAAAATGGAATTCAATAAGGAAAGAAAATAAGCGAAAAACAGGCACTTTTATGGGGGATGATCCTTAACAATGCCGAGGTCATTTTTAATAAATCCTGTTTAATAGTGCAAAATAAAATATGTGGAAAACCCCTTATCATTTTGAGCATTCCTTTGAAAAGTACCAAAACTACTTAGCAAATTACTTGAAACTCTCAAAATTTTTAAGACATTCAAATCGGCCTTTTTTATTAGTTGCCAAATACGATTCACTGCAAGATAAAGAATTTTTTTTTAAATTTTTCCCGTGCATGCGATTATAAACGAACTATACTTTAATTGTTCATATCTTGCGAATTTTTACACGAATTTTTCTCCAAATTTAAAGAAAAAAATTATAATTACTTTAGAAATGTTCTAAAATTTTTGCTTAGTTTTATTGAATATTTTTAAAGTAATAGCAAAAAAAAATGTAAGACAAAAATATTAGTTTCTTGTAAGAATGTCCATATCTCGATAAATATTTAAGCTAGACTTACGAAATTTTTGTGTAATTATTGCATATAAGAATAAAAAAAACTGTCGCAAGTTACAAATCTATTGCTAAATTTTTTGGCATAGGGTGTTCAAAAACATTATTTTCCGTTTCTAATTTATTGTTGGTAAAAAAGCCTTAAAAGCTTTATGCCTCTAAAGTTAAAAAAGTTAACCTCTCAAGTTTAAGTTTAAAGTCTCTGAAAGCTTTAAACTTCATTGATATATATAAGAAATCGTATGATCTAAATGCTTCTGAAGTTATAAAATATTTCGTTAGTATTTCTTGAGAAATAGGAAAAAATTTATTAGTATCGAAGTGTTTCCATTATTTTATATGGATATATGGAATATATATATGGAACATTAAATCAAGAAATTATATTCCATATATACAGGGGCGATTAAATCTCCCCTGTATATATGGAGCATTAAATCAAGAATCAAATATCAAGTCCTTATTTTTGCTACCACTTTGAAAAAGTCTTTCACCCATTAAGTCCTAAAATTGACAGCTTAGAAAAAATAGTATTATTGTGTAGCAGCTAGTTTACCTGAAATTAAATGCTAATATAATGACATAGTTTATAATTACCACTCTATAATCTTCAAAGATTAAAGGCTGTCTAAGCTCCCTGACTCAGCAATAAATTTCATTTTTAATCGTTTTTATTTTTAATTGTTATTCATCTCTTAAGTAGCATTAAAAGATGTATAGAATCGAAGTTTTAAGGAACATATAGTCATTAAATGACATGAGAGATTGTTTTTTTTCCCTGTCTATTCGGTACACTGTTCGAAATTTCTCCGACAAAATGTCTAAATAAAAATTTATTTAACTGTTATTTTACTACATTCAAACAAAACAGTCAAATAACCATAAATAAGATGGTATTCAAGCTGTTTAATTAAGTTGTGCATTAACTGCTTTCACCTAATACGGTTTAATAATCGGAATTTTATCGCACCAACTAGGCCCACGAAATGAAACCATTTGGTTCCCTGTCGCTAGATACATATTATAGCCGAGAGAGAAAAACTGTCAAACTCATGACCAACAGATCGGGTGTTCGTGTTCCTCCGTTGACAATGCATTATTTTTTCCTTTCCCTTTAACATATGAAGAGTTTTTCGAATACGATACTATCATTCACGCATAGATGGCAGCACCATAAAGTTAATTAACACTAAAAGTCTAGTATTTCTTACGATATGTGAAGTAACCAGATAAACTAATTAAACCTTATTCTATGATTCATTTGATAAACACAACTTTACTAAAACCCAACTCTAATACCTATAACCCAATACAGTTTCGATGTCAAGTGAATTTTTTTTTACCGTTTTGAAACTATGCCAGTTGTAAATGGTTAAAAAAATAGTATAGTTTTGAATTCATGGTGTCTTAACCCTACTTGTTATAAGCGGTTTTGAAATCATAAAGGGGGAAAATGTTCTTCACCGTAAGCTTTATGGTTAATGTGATGGACAGACTGAACAAACGTAGAATGAAAATTCTTACTGTATAAGCTTATAGCTCAATGAAATCTGAACACTTTTTTTTCACTCTAACTAGTTTTATTTATACATATATTTAATACCACAGTAATTTACCGTTTAAGTTTTGTCCTTGAAACTGAAAGTTGATATTGAAAGTTGATAACGATTACCATAATAATAAATTTTTTGAATCATTTCAATATCAAATAGAGAAAAATCTTTATTTTTACTTCCATGCTTCATTGCATTGCTTCGGTTGAATTATTATTAAAAATGCTACTATCTATTTACTTTTCTACATTAGGCTATATGCAAATCTGAATTACGTTTATGAAATTTCTTTTTATCATTATCATAGCTCAAGTAATTTTTAGAATTTTATTTACGTTATTTCACGCTTAGCCTTAAGAAATAATATTTTATTATTATTTTTTTCGTTTGTTTTTTGATTTTGAGAATCGTAACGGACCTTGGTTTTATCAGTGTTTCTTTGTTCATTGCGTTTGGCTAATCATTCTTTTATAGTTTTTGTTCCATACATATTCTTATCGTTCTTTTGACTCCTGACTTATCGAGCTGAGTGTTTGTCTTAAAGTAATTAAGCTGTTTTCTCAAAAATCCAGAACTTGTTGAGATAAATATTTCAGAAGGAAGTATTTCAGGTCTTCGGTAAGTTTGGGTATAAAATTTTTTATTAACAAATTATTGCCTTTCTGGGTGACGGTAAGCAATGAATCTTGACTTAAAAAAATTAATTTTCTTATCGTAATTTTCTTTTTAGCATAACTATTAAAGTGTTATCAGTAGTAATAATAATAAGAGCCATATAATTATATTAATAATACAAATTATAGTATACTAATTTTTACTTACTAATTTTAAAATGATTGCTATTATGGATTTTACTTTTCTTATTATTTTACTCTAATAATAATAATAAATATTACTATACATTAAAATATTGAAATAAACTACAATAAGAACTCTGCTTAGATCATATATAAGTAATTATTCTGTTAAATTTTTTTTTTAAGATACGCAATAAAATTATATTATGACTCATAAAAAATATGATTATTAGTATAGTATATGATATAGTATATAGTACAGTACAAATATGATTATTAGTATATAGTACAGTATAAAATATGATTATTAGTATATAGTATTATAAGGTAATTAAAACTGTCTTCCCAAACATTGAGAACTTGCTAAGATAAATATGTCAGATGTCAGAAGAAAGTATTTCAGGTCTGAGGTAAGTTCAAGTTTCAAAATTTCTATTAGCAAATTATTGCCTACCGTCCCTTTTTAGGGACACTAGGCAATGAATCTTGACTTTTTTTTGTCGTAATTTTCCTTTAGCATTCATTTAAGTGTTTGCAAAGGATCTAATAATAAGGGTAATATTATTGTATTATTTATACAAAACTATAATAGACTAATTTTACTTATTAATTTTTAAATGATTGTTATCATTGCATTTATTGTTATTATTACAATTGTTATTATTATTTTATACTACTAATAATAAATATTATTGAAATTAACTAGTATAAGAAATCTTAGATCATATAAATAATTATTCTGCTCGTAATTTTTTAGAATACACAACAAAATTATACTTTGGCAAATAAGCATTATTAAAATATGATAACAATATTAATAATAATATTGGGTATTATTAGAATTATTTTTGTAAATACTGGTGTTATATTTGCGAAATGCTAAAAAAAAATTGAATTAAAATTGGCATATGTTCCCTTACGCCACTATAAAACTATATACTTTTTTCAGAATTTATAATGTTATAATGTGAAAGAATAAAAGCAATCACAAACTAATTATGTTTAAAATACATTGCAAACTTTGTGAAAGAAAAGAAAATTATTCAATTCAAAAATTTAGTGTAAACACAGTTAATATCTTCTATGTTGTTTTTCAAAGCATAATTTTTAAATATTTATAGGTTATTTTTGAGAAGCATTTTCGTAGTCAAAACACGCTAAAAAAGGCATTGGGTGAGAAATTTCATGTGGCGGACAGTTTATGAATTTTTTAATAATTTTTTGAACAGTTATATTTTTTTGAAAACTGGCTTTAAATGAATAATTGGGCGCCAAATTTTTTGAAAATACACTAATATGATTTTACTTACAAATTATTTTTGAAAACATTTTAGTTGTACAAACAAGGGTTAAGGTTAGGTTACCGGAATTTTCTTGTGGCGGTTCATTTAATGAATATTTTAACATTTTTCGGACGCATATATTTTTTCAAAACTAGATTTAAATGAATAATTGGGCGCCAAATTTTCCGAAAATGCTAACATGACTTTAAATGTTTAAAAATTATTTTTGAGAACAGTATATTTGTTTAAAACACGCTGTATAAGGTTTTGCGATTGAAAATTACTTAAGGCGGACATTTAGCGAATATTTTATAATTTTTTGGATGCAGTATTTTCTCAAACGTGACAATAATTAAGATCCGAAGTTTTCGGAAATATTTTAATATTTTTTTAAAAATATTTATAAATTATTTTTGTGAATAGTTTTCTTCGTCAAAAATGCGGTACATAGGGTACTAAGTGGAAAATAACTTGAGGCGGACATTTTATGGCTTTTGTTTTTATAATATTTTGGGCATTGATATTTTTTATAACTGACTTTAACTGGCTTTAAATGACTAATTTAATGCCGAATTTTCAGAAAATATCCTAACATGCCTTTAAATATTTATAAATTGAAATTGAAATTTGTTTGCTTTGACCAAATCATGCTATATAAGGCATTAGGTGAAAAATGTCATTTAGAGGCAATTATTATTAAAAGAAATTTTAAAATTTCTTGGACATTGATTTTTTTTAAAAATTAAATTTAAATGAATTATTGGAAGCGAATTCTTTTGAAAACATCTTAATAAGCTTTTAAATATTTATAGATATTTTTTGAGAGCAGTATTCTTCGTCCGAAACACTCTAGGCATTAGATGAAGCATTACTTGTAAGGAATTTTTCTGGACATAGGTATTTTTTCAATACAGGCTTTAAATGAATATTTTAGTGCATTATTTTCCGTAAATAAACTAACATATCCTTAAATACTACTATCTATAATACCCTATATGGAAATCGATTCGCACTTAAATCAGTTAATTGAAAACATATATATAAAAGAAAGTAAAAGCGATTTTTTAGTTTTAAAAAATATTGCTGGTTGTATATTTTTATTCCGTTTGTTGCTCACATATTTTTCTTTAAAATGTTATTCTGCAATTTATATTAATTGTATGTTAGTTTTAGGCTAGAATAATATAAGGAAAAGAAACAAACTTCATGGCTGATAAATACAAATCTCTCTTGGTGTGGGAAGGAATTGAGGAAGATTCGGAATGCGAAAAATTTAAGCGTTACGTCCAGAAGAACTACAAATTACATTTTGGTAAGTTTTTCTTAACTGGTTTTATCCAACTCTCAGAATTTTTCGTGTTTCTCAAGACAGTTAACCAAAACAAAAAAAAAATACACGTAAAAAAGTAACCACATTTCGTATTCATGAAAAGAACACTGAAAAAGTGTCCTCTACTTTATTTAATATTCTTCTTGTTATCTTCTTTTTGCATCTGTTATAATTTAAGTTCATTGAGTGAAAGGGTAAGAGAACCCCGTTAGTTTGGAATGCGTTTTTTTTTACTTTGCAGAAGGGAAAGACAATAAATAACTGAGAAAAAGAATTGGTTGCATGCAGAGGGTAGCCTGATCTCTCCTAGAGCAAGCGCTTCCCAACCTTTATATCGCCGCGAATTGGTCAACATTTGATTTTACCAATGGTTTTGATTTTATAAATTTACAAATCCTGTGACATATATGTCACGCTAGGTTAAAATGGGTTTAAAGCATGCCTTTAAAACAAAATACAGTTACATGCCCGGTATGGATGCAGCTGTTTTTGACGGATTTAAAGTTTAAAGTTCATTATCTTAGACAAAGTTTTAGCTCAGCTCCCAGTTAACCTCGTCCGTAGAAAAGCACATAAACGCAAGAAAATTACACCATTAAATAAGATTAAAATAATATAACGTTCCTTGTGCGGCCCGGCACCATTTCATTTACGGAACGGCCCGGGGGTTCGGAACTACTGATCTAGAGGACTTTTTAGCATTAAATTGATATGGTTATCTAAAACAGTGCTTTTAAAAAGTGTCCCTTGAAGGACGTGGTCACTCTATAAAGGTGGTTTTATCGTATAAGTTCACCTGTATCACTTTTTTGATTCCGCTTTTCCGTACCAATACAGTAGTACTAAAAAGGAGTTCCGCGAGATTCCGTGGAAAGATTACAGGGACACCGATAGTAAGAATATTTTTTCTAATCAGTAATGGCTACATTTATATTCAATCAACACTCAAATTTTTAGAAAAATATTTTCTTTGTTTATACGAAATTAGGTAAAATTTCAGTGAAAAAAAAGAAGCAAAATTAAAAAAAAAAACATAATAATATATTAAATAAACTATGAAAAGAATATGCATTCATAAAAAAATTCATGAAGTATTTTATCGATCTTCTCAATTTAAAATAAATATACTAATTTCAAAAATAAAACATTACTTTTCGATATTTACTATTCTCAACAATTATGCGTTCTTTTTTTTCATATTTATTTTAACAAACGCTAAAAGCAAATTTATAATATTAAATATTTCATTCTTCTCCAAAAATTAGTAGCATCATTTTTTTTGGTTAGTATATTCACAACAGCTATTTTCTTTTATAATGCCAGGGTTCCGTTAAAAGAAGCTCAATCATACAGGATTCGGTAGCCGAATAAATGAGGAAGCTCTTTATTAATACTTTCCATGGCTCAGTCTTTCCGAAATTAACATTTAAATAAAAAATAGGGCAGCAAGTGTATGTATGTTTTTAGTTGTGTAGTAAGGATTCCTATATTTTAATTTTAAACTCTCTGTAAAATGAAATAAATAATTTTATAACGTGTAATTTCTATCCGCTCCTGCTGTGCTAAGCATAGTTCTAATTCGTCGTAATATTCATTTTACTAAGCGTATGTTTGATTTACAAACTCATTTCATTTTGAGAATTAGTGTATGTATGCAATCTAAATTACTACTTCTGACTTTATATTGAGTCATAAAAATTACTTACGCCTTATTCTTACTTGCCTCATAACTTACTGTAATTATAAATTTTAGTGTTACTAAGTAACAAACATGATGGTTGGTGGATGGTTTTTACTTCAAGTGATACTTCACAAGGTACTTCACGTCAGCATACAAGGTACTTCACGCGGCCCCAGGAACTTCCTGTGAGCTTTGGTGTAGCGGTACACAACTTTGGTGTAAAGTAATTGCTACCTTTTTCGGTATTCAGATACACGAGAATTGTTTTATTGTGCAGGACTGCCAGCACCTCCTAAACTTAAATTTACATTAAACAAATATTAAATATGCCTTTCTTTTATGATCGTAACCTTATTTCGAATCCTAGATCGAATACTTATTTAATTCTTAATCTTCAGAGAGTTAAAAATTTTTTCCTACTTAATAAATGGTTTCTGCTTTATATTAATTTTAGTTTTTAAATCTGAAGTATTTTACTGTATTTTTTTAGAGTCTGATAGAGATTTTCAGAAATGGTCAACAGAAAATTTCCAAACCTATTGGGAAGCTGTATGGGATTACTTTGATGTCATTGCTTCAAAACCTTACACACAGGTAATTTGTTATTTTTACATATTTATAACATTTAATTAATATTAAAAAGGATAAAGAAAATATTCCAAGTCCCTTTCTCTCTTTTTGGGTTTACAACTACTAATGTTCAACTCCGTTGCCTTGTAATTTTGAATCCAATCCAAAAGACAAGGAAAATCCTGGATTAAGTATTGGGAGAAATTTGCCTCCGTGGAGGAATTTTTAATTGAATTAACCCGCATTCGCATTACATGGAGAAGAAAACCACGAAAACCTCCCATGATTAGCGCAATTGCAAGGGGACTCAAACCTATGATCCGCCTACCATTGAGGTTATTTTACGTCAGCACTATGGTCGGTGCGAGCCATCGAGCTTGGATATCGAGCAGCCATCACTGGGATTCGAACCCGGTTCACATCTTTGGAAGGCGAATGCTTTATCTCCTGAGCCACCACGACTCCATAAAAATAATTAATAAAGCCTGCTGAAAATTAATAGTTATAATCTAGGGTCTGCAAAAATACAAGATTTTTGGAGCCTGAATCAATAAAAACTCCTAGTTGGAGCTCACTGCTGAAACCTTTTGTATATATGAGCACTAAAAATGATGACAATCAACTAACATCAAATTGGTGTTCTACTACTACAAAACCCAAGGATAGTTCTTGGGGCAATGAAACTCCTAGAATGTTCTTTTACACTACTTGGTGTAAAATAGTCGCCACTAATCACCATGTTGCTATTCAGTAACATTAAAATTTATTATTACTGTAAGATATGATACATTTTACAATCAGTAGACTTACCTCTACGAGGCAATATTAAGTAAGAATCAGTAATTTAGGTTGCATGCATACACTTATTCTTAAAGTGAGTTTGTAAATCAAACATATGCGTGGCCGTAATAGTAAGGCGAATTCCAATTAGGCTTATTAGAGCAGGAGCTGTGAGAAATTATACATTGTAAAATTATTCAATACATTTTACTGAGACTTTGTAAATTAAAATAAAAATATCCTTATTACACAACTAAAAACATACATAAATTTTTTTAACGGCAAACTTTAGTTTCCGTAATGAAAAGCAACATCAACCACAAAATCTTGCTAACTTGTTATTGATTGTAAACAACTAAAGACGATATCAACATACGCCAACATTGGTGATTTTTTTTTAAGTGAAAGCATTTAATGTATAGTGTAAAAAGGTGAGTGATCTTGGAGTCTTTAATATTTTGGTTAATAAGATATTTCGTATACGTACCCTTTAAATCATATATGAGAGCTCAATTTGATGCAAACTTAAAGAAAGTGCTCCTCCATGCAATTATTAGAACTGTTCAACATCGAATTCGGAGAAATATTGCACTATAATTTTTGCAGTGTATAATATGGAAAGTAATGTACCAGCTTTTATGCTGAATTTTTCGAAAATATTTGGCACCTGCTACGATTTTGGTAGCATCTTAGAGATTTGGCCCCCGAGATTTGTGGACCAATGGTTGTAATATAAATTTATTATATTATAAATTTACTATATTATAAATTTATTAGATAATAAATTTATTAGATTATGAATTTATTATATTATAAACCAATTTACCTGATTTACATTTTATTTTCAGGTTTTTAGAAAGACAGGTCCAGGCATTTTAGACTGCGAATGGTTTGTAAACGCTCAATTCAACTACGCTGAAAACATTTTGAAAATGCGAGATGATACCGTAGCATTGATGTTTGAGGGTACATATCACAACAATTAATTATGACTAAAATAAAACATTACGTATAAGTAACATCTTAATATGAAAGATTTTTAAATATTTTGAAGATAATTATATTCGAATCATTATTTAGGAATTATTTTAAAAAAGAACGGGGTCTCCTTATATGAGGATCTCCTTATATGATGGGTCTCCTTATATGAGGATCTCCTTATATGATGGGTCTCCTTATATGAGGATCTTCATCTTCTTATATGAGGGGTCTCCTTATATGAGGATCTTTATCTCCTTATATGAGGATGTTTCATAAAATGTAAGCACATTAGCCTCGAACAGAGAGCTTGGTAGGTAATTTTTTGGTTAAAATACCCATACTATTAATACTTCATACTACTAATATGAAAGATTTTTAAATATTTTGAAGATAATTATATTCGAATCATTATTTAGGAATTTTTTTAAAAAAGAACGGGGTCTCCTTATATGAGGATCTCCTTATTTGAGGATCTCCTAATATGATGGGTCTCCTTATATGAGGATCTCCTTATATGATGGGTCTCCTTATATGAGGATCTCCTTATATGAGGGGTCTCCTTATATGAGGATCTTCATCTCCTTATATGAGGATGTTTCATAAAATGTAAGCACATTAGCCTCGAACAGAGAGCTTGGTAGGTAATTTTTTGGTTAAAATACTCAAACGCATTGGCGTGTAAGCCTTGTACATGCCACATAATTTTTCAGAGTATTTGTAGAAAATGAATCAGACGCCAATAGGAAAACAGTATACTCGCGACAAAGTAAACCTTTAAGCCTTATCAAGGCTACGATTGCCTATATAAAAGACTTTCTGAAAAGTTTGCAAACAACGCTTTTTATAGCTAACTTGGCGATTTTTTGAAATTGAAAATAGTTTATAACAAATTCATCAACTTAATTTGAATGTTGAAATTTTTGCTAAAAAACGGTAAATGTAAATCAAGAATAATAACAAAAATTGTAATTCTATAACTATTATTCCATGGTTTCAACATTATTCCATTGCACTGAAAAAAATAGCCAAATCTACCAGAATTATTTAAAATTCACCGTGTTTCTGGCTCTGAGGGAACACAAGCTGGATAATTTTTGTTGATAATTTTGTTTTGTTTTGCTGGATAATTGGTAATGAGTTGGGTAAAATTAACAATGCAATATGGTTTAATAATGTGTGATAAAATGTGGTAAATATGATAAAATTTGGTAATTTTATCATCATATGATACCTTAAAGCATAGCATGGAAATCATTTATTCGGTTAAATTTACTTTTCAGTTTTGTATATTTTACCAAACGTGTGTAATAAGCATTATAAATTTGAGGACCAGAATTTCCCATTAACAGTTAGCACATGATCGAAAAATTTGCCAAATGTATGATTGAAATACTGTATGTTTTGGTTTTTAATAACAGATAGCTTTTTTAAATTTTTTTATGTCATTACTTTACAGTACGGTAATATTACCAGAAGTTTTTTCTTCGCGCACTATTGACTGTACATTGCATTTTCTGAAATAACGCTTTTATCGCTACTTTCTAAAACTTTCTAAAGTTGAAAATAATTTATGTTAAAAATATCTACTGAATTTGAATATCAAATTTTTTGAAAAACAATGGTCAAATATAAATCAAGAATATTAAAAAGAATTAAAAATATATCATTATTACTCTATTATTATTTTATTATTCTTATAGAAACTATTATCATTCCTTTTTTGAACATTTGATGGTAAATGATTTTTTATAGTTCTAATTATATACATTTAATTATACAAATAATTATAAATTTTAGTGCGCATTCTACTTTAAATAGTAATGATCATCTTTCCATCTTTTATATTATGAATCATGATTAGATGAGGAAGGAAATACAGATAAAGTTACCTTCAATGAGCTCTATGAAGAAGTGCAATTATATGCAGCGACATTTCGAAAGCATGGACTTCAAATCGGAGATAGAGTCGCTTGTAAGTACTTCTTATTTTTTATGTGATTTTGAAAATTTATAGTTAAGCTAGTTAAAGATACACTGTTAGAATTTTCATTCTGAAATTATGGTGAAATAACCGGAAGCAGTCTGTTCATTCAGTTAACCGTAAAGTTTACGGTAAAGAACATTTTTTTTATCTTTATGGTTTTGAAACCGTTTACAACTAGTATGGTTATAAAAACATTAAAAAACTAAGCAGTTTTTTAACCATTTACAACTATCAAGGTTTAAAAAACATTAAAAAGAAAATTAACTGGACATTGGAGATAGTTTAGTAGCTTTATAGTGCTGCCATTTTTACATCAATGGGAGTTTTATATTCTACTAGTTCAGCATCACAAATTTGGGATTGAATATTGGAAACTCTTCATGTAATGAAGGTAATGTAGGAAGTATTGTGGTGTCAACGCTACAATTCGAACCCTTAGAGTCGCTCGGTACTGATTTATTAATTATTTTCTTTTTATTCAACACTGTGCGCAGAATGTCTTCTGCTTGTAGAAAATATAAGTATTGTTAACTAAGGTTTCGCTTAAGGAAGTTTAACCGTATTTCAAAAAACTACTTGTTATAATTAAAATTTTTTATTTCGTCTCTTTTAATTTTCTCTCTTTATTTATTTTTCTCTATCTATTTCTCTGTTTTTTTTATTTTGAAATAAAAATATTTGCAATACAAATATAAAAAATTGCTTTAATTTCATTATTCTTAAAGAACTTTGAAACAATTTCCAAAGAACCAGTATACAACGAACGAAACCTGTTATCTGTGTTAATTAATTAATTTTTTCTACCTTTTAATTACTCTTATTTACTACTTTGTATACGACTATTATTTCTTACTTTATATTGCTATACTTATTACTTATATAAATATTTATTATTTATACCTTCGTATAACTATTTATTACTTATTTCCTTGTATACTACCATTACTTAATTGTTTATATTATTTCTTATAACTTTGTTACGATGCTTCGTGAAAACACAATTCTCCACCAGAAGTTTATAATTTGTTTTATGTAGAAAATAACTATGTTTAAATAGAATTTTATGTGTACTAATTAATTTTCAGGTCAAATGTCAAATAGGAAAGAAGCTATATTTGCTTGTTTGGCAACAGTAAGCATTGGAGCCATCTGGGGAAGTGCTGTTCCTTACTTTGGTGCACAGGTAATTTTGCACTTGACAAAATTCAAATATTTTAAGCTTCTGTTTTACGTTGCGTTTCGAACAATTACAGTTGTTTTTGAAATATTTCAAAGAACTAAATATTCATTATTAAATAATGTTTAGGTGAGAAGTTATTCCTTACAATCTTCTTAATAAACATTATGTGTTTCACAATTATCTTGTAGAGACTGTGACAGCCCAGTGCTTAGAAAATCCGGGAGTCAGGTCTGGAAGTATCCAGGGTTCGATCCTCGACTCCGTTAAGAGTACATGCGATGTACGTGCTTAAAATCTGTGGAATCGAAAGTTCTGTGTCCATCGCTGAGGGTATGGATATAGGGAACAGGGAAAATTTTCTTTCCCCTTCTGTTCTATTTCTAAATCAAGGAAGTGGCCTCACGAATAAATGATGCTGCCATCTATCGGTGTTTAGAGCTAAGATGTAATTTCCCCCTTGTGGTGCTTTTTTGTCAAACGAATGGCGCACCTTCCTGGCTTTTTTCACAAAGGGACAATGACTGCTGAATTTGGCTTAACAAGTGTCACTAGAAAAAGCAACAATAACAACCTCATTTTGGTTAGGCAAAGCGTAGTAGTTCTATTCTAACTCCCAGAAAAGCACACACACACAACGTTAAAAAAATAGAAATAAATACACAACAGATCGATGTCTAAATTGAGGAAATGGCCTCACGATTGAGTTATGCTGCCATCTATCTGTGAGTTCTTTCTTTCGGTCCTCTCGTGTGAAACGAAAGGCGAAACATTCTGACCTAATTCGCGAAAGGCGAATGACTGACCAGCTTGGCTTGTCCAAGTGTCTTTAGAAACAACACAATTATCATGAGCAATCACGGCCGTCTTAATAGCATGCAGGGCCCCCGGTCAAAGAAATGTTTTGGGCCCTTATAACAGGTCATACTACTTAAAATCGAACTAAAAAACTTCACATGCATAAAATAAAGCTTTTTTAACATTGCAATAATTTTACCAAATTTAAATACATTTGGATTACCCTAAAAAACTGGATTCACATAAAAACTTCATTAGAAAGCAAAAAAATAGATTTCGGTTGACTTTTTAATTTTCCCTGTCGATAGACTATTCAAATTATTGTTGTTTGGGTGATAATCAGTCACTATTTGTAGAAAGAAAAACAAAATGTGTACTTTATACAATAGAATATATTTATTTTTGAAAAATATGTAAGGCAATTTTGTTTATTCTTACTGTTTTTAAATACAATTTATGAAAAGTAAGATTCTCAAGGGCCCCCTGAGTGCCTGGGGCCCTCGGGCACTGCCCGGGTGTGCCCATGCGTAAAGACGGTACTGTGAGCAATTCAATGAATTAAAGATATTTCGAGAACTGTTCAATTTTCTTTCGTTCTCTAGCATTATACCTACACTTTCCTAGTTTCCTTAAAAAAGTACAAGACTGGTCATAGTTTTACACAAAGCTTACATAATAAAAAGAATACGTAACAGTAACTTAGTTACTTCTTAATAATTGTAAAACAGATAATAAGCTTAGAATGAAATTTTAAGCTTTATTAATTAAAATAATTATCAAACCCAAAAGTAAATAAAAGTAAATATCATTAAACGAGAAAAAAAGTGTTTCACACGGAAAAATATTAATTTTTTTATATTTTACATTGAGGACAATTAAAGATACTATTTGTTCAAGTGGAAAAAAGCCTCTTTCCGTTAAATATTCAATAATATTAAATCACGTTATAAGATGTTCTTTCATTGGCTATCTGTGAATATGGCATTAGAATTTTATGATATCGAAAAAAAATAGGAACTTATATTTACAAAAAAATCCTGATGCAGTAGTATCAAGTCATAAAAATTATTAAAAAAATCTAATAATCAAATCATTATAAAAATCATGCATTTTATTTGATAAAATGCTCATTCGTTCTTTCTTTTAAAGAGCATAAAATTATTTTCATTTAAGTAAAACTTAGATGAAAATAGATTAAAATGAAAATATATTAGATTTAATTGATTTGTTATTCATTTTAAAAGAGTTTCATTTTCAGGCGGCCACAAATATAATAAGCAAAATGGAACCAAAGTTTCTAATAGTGGTTGACCGCCATCTTGATGGTGGAAAAGAATATAATATCCTTGATCACCTGGAATTTATGGTGGATGGTAAGAATAAGACTCATTTTTATTTCACTTTTACTCATCCATTTAATTTTTTTACTATGCAGAAACAAAAGCATTTAACTTAAAAACGTATTAAAAGTGTAACCTTTATTCAGTGAATTTGAATCATATCACACTGTTAGAAATTTCTCAAAAAAAAATAGTTTAATAACAATTTATTTAATTTTCATTTTACCGTATTCAAATAAAACAGTCAAATAACCGTAAATAAGGTAGTATTCAAGGTGTTAACTGCGGGAAAAGTTGTTCATTAACTAATTTAACCTAATACGGTTAAACTATCAGAATTTTATAGCCCTAACTAGGCTTGTTTCTTAGAGTTTTGTAGTTCCTTAGTTTTGTTACAGAATCGTATAGTTCTGTATTTTTGGTTTTTACCACGACAGTTGTAAATGTTTTCAAAAGCTTAAAGTAAAAAAAAAATTTTTTTACCGTAAACTTTACCGTTAATGGGATAACCAGATTGCTGCTGGTTATTTTACCGTAATTTTAAAGTGAAAATTCTTACAGTGCATGATGTTATAAAGATATATTTACATAATCAAATCTATTAAAGGAGAAATCTTTAAATTAAACACCTACTTTTTATACGTAGTTCAATTCTTTGTTTCTTTTAATACAACTAAACGTATATAAAAATATATAAACGTATATAAAAATACGTATATAAAACTAACCAGTGAAGGAGCACTTAAGCTTCGCTTGCCTTTTAAAAAATCATAATAATTTCAAAATTCGTAATTTTAGTTAAATGACAGTGTCAACATATTAGTTACTAATTGCAAATTATGTAAAAAAATTGTAGAGAACTTACATAATATTGTTTTAAAGCTTTGGAGGTTCAAATAGCAAGTAGTAAGAAGACCAAATGAAGGAACAGTTCTTACCAGTGAAGGAACACAAAATTTCCCAGTAAAGGAACGCTTGATTTTGGTTATTTTTTAATGCTCTTTATGAATTTATAAGCCATACAAATATTTAAAAACAAGCCTATTCTTGAAATTATAACATATAAATACTTGGAAAATGCTAACTTTGTTTTGTAATCATGAATTGAAAATTAAAGTGTCAACATATTAACACATACTGTTCATTCACTGGGAAATCTATGCCCAGTAAAGGAACATGCCTATTCCCTCACTGGTTAGAAGTTGTTTTTCGTATTTTTAACATACTTTTGATGCGGAACATCACTAAAGGTACAAGAAAATTAAAGTTTATCTTTATTAACTTAGAAAAAATCCCAGTAAAAGAACTCTTGTTCCTTCACTGGTTTTTCATCATTTGGTAATCCAGTAAATAAACACCCTCTTATCTCAGTACTTGCTTATGCTATGATGCTTAAAATAAATAAAACGTAACTTCAATAACTATATTTTGAATTCTCTTTTTCACAGTGAGAAAAATAAACTACTGCATGCAATTAATTCCACTTTAAACAGATAAATATATGCAATCACCTTATAATTTTATCAAAGAAACAAGGTGCTGCACAGATAATAACAAATTTAAAGTTTTTTCCAGACAACACTATGTGACTATTGTTTGTCAGTAAGCTATTGTTACCAATCAATCTAAAGAAGAACTTTCAAAATCTTAATTTTAATCAATATATATGAAATGTTCCTTCACTGGGTCGTGTTCCTTCACTGGTTGGTTTACCCTACATCCATGCTGCAATACTAGTGATATATGATACTTTTAATAATACAATTATTATTATATAATACTAATGATATGATGATATATAATACTGTTAAATGATATATACGGGAACTGTCCTTGTATCAGAAAGGTCCTGGGTTCGAATCCCGGGCAAGGCATGGATATTTCTTTCTCTCTCTGTGTGTGTTCAATGTCCTTTCTCCTTTATGTGTGAATGTGACCAGCCCTATAAACGGGTTGTGGTTGTGTGAATGGCGTGCAGAAGTCGAATTCCTGGCCATAGATGGCGCCACTGAAAAACAGGAACAATCGCCCCCCCCACTGCCTAAACAGGCATACGACAAAAAAAAAGATATATATGATGATATCTTATATTGTTATGTGATAATACATGTTATATAGTAACTTTTTTATATTTATGGTATTACATAATACAATTCGTTACATAGGAACACCTTCACTAGAAAAAGTAATTATAGTGCCTAGTAGACGTGAAACTTTATCAATGGATATTTCCCATATCAGAAATAGGTAAGATTAAGCGCTTAATTTTTTAAATTAAAAAAAAAATTAGTTCGTAAAGTTTGTGATGATTGTATATGTAGTATAACAATAAAGGAAAATATTAATTTTTTTGACAAAACTGTGAGTGCATAATTTTGTTTAAACTAACTTTGTTTTTATTTATTGCTTAAGTTGTTTTTGTTTTTAAGTAAGAGGTTTTGTTGCAAAGCTTTATTGTATTTTGAAAAAGGACACTTTTTATTAAAATGTTAACTATTTTTGTCATAAATATATATTTAAAAAAAGCTACCTAAAATTTAGCTTGAAAATTATATGCCTTACAGATAATGTATTAGATTATAAAATTGTGCCAACGAAAGCTGACTACTTTTTTTAGACAGAGGGCTCAATAATTACAAATATTGATACTGTGCGCAAAATAAAATTAAAAAAACAGACATGCCGTAATAATTTTGCTCTACTGTCAAAGACTAGTTGTACTGATATTTTGAAGATTGTTTAACGTACATTTGTTTCATAAAAATTCACGATATACCGTTACCATATAAACGGAAAAATCGTCAAACGATTGGTTTAAATACCTTGTATTTTTGTTCTATTACCCAATTTTTTATTTTTTTTTTACCAAAAACGTGAACACCACATAATGCAGTAGTTTTGCCAGAATATTTTTTCTCCGTGCATAGAGCATCGCTTTTTTTGTGGTTCTTGTTGTCAAGGTTTCTAAAAATATACATTTAATTATGGTTATTACGGGATGGTTGCATTGATTGCAAAATTTATTTTACCCCGAATAAACGTATTTATTTGGAAATACTTAGATGAATAAATTTAGATTTCAGACATTTGCAGGTATATGCGTTATTTTTCTTCTTATAGTTGCTTCATCGACAATTTCTTAGAAACTGGAAAACTTCAGGATGGTTCAGTTCCTCCATTAGTTTTCGAACAACTACCCTCCAGTCATCCTGTTTTCTTGTCATTTACATCTGGCACGACAGGCATCGTAAAAGGGGTTGTGCATTCAGCAAAGGTAAGCATAAATATTAAGCACAAGTGTGGTTTTTATGTGAGAACTATTATTTAAGAGACACAAAACGTTCAAAACAAACAAGTGCAATTTTTAATCGATCATTTTCGAACTTTTGTAGAATATTGATAGCATTAATAGAAGTCTGTGTACAAAGCTTTAGAAAAAAAAATCATTATTTTCAAAGTTATAGCTCAAACTATGGTTTTTAATTGTTGGTAATTAAAAAGTTTTTTGTGAACGAATTTTAATTTTTCCAATTACATTTTAACCAAAATACGTTGTTTATGGACATTAAAATACATTTAAATAATTATAGTAACAGTATAAAAATATAACGTAACTAGGCATTAAATTTTTATTTTGTCACCGAAAATTTCTTGGAAAAACCCGATTCTTCAATTATGCATATTAATTACACTATCTATCAATAAGTATTTGGACACCTATGCAAATGACTATATCTGTGATCCTGAGATACGTCACGCCCTCCGCCGGTATATACAGTCTAGGGAACAACATCGGCATTAGTCCCATGCAAGATGCCTACTGCACTATTTTGGATGACAGTGTGCTTCCTACGTTATGGCAGTTTTACGGGGTGGACTCCTGTTACTTCCAGGACGACAATGACAGCTGTCATTCTGCGAGGGTCACCAAGGCTTGGTATGGTGCCAATAGGGTTAATCAAATGGACTGGACTGCCCAGAACCCAGACCTGAAACCTATCGAGAACCTCTGGGACAAGTTGGATTGCTGAATTAAGGGGTGTACTACCCGTCCAAAATCGGTGAAGGAACTTACATGTCTCCTCCAAACCGAGTGGAAGAAAATACCACTAGCCGTCACACAAAGACTTGTAGAAAGTATGCCCGGAGGGTTCACGCTGTAATTGCCTCTAGTGGAGCCTCTGCCAACTATTGATCATGAATTAAGTTTGTTTTTCTTTTCAATCACACGTGTTCAAATACTTATTGGTAGATAGTGTATTATTATGTTCAATTAAAAAATTAAACTTAGATATTATAACCTAGTTGAACAGCCGACCCAATTTTAAAATTTCTCACTGCTAATGTTCCACTCCGTAACCTTGTAAATTTGAACCCAATCCAGAAGATAAGGGACCTCCTGAATCAAGTACTGGGAGAAATGTGCCTTCATAGAAAACTTTTTTTTGCACCTAACCCGCATTTGCGTTACATGGAGAGAAAAACCTCGAAAATCTACCTCGGTTATCCTGGCGGCAAGGGAATTCTGTCCCATGATCCGTCTACCACTGAGAATATTTTACCTCGGAACTGTGTTTGGTGAGAGCCAGGTGCGAAATTCTTATCGATCTACCATCGCTGAGATTCGAACCTGGTTCATCTCATTGGAACGCGAACTCTCTAACCCCTGAGCCACCGCGTTTCAAAATTAAGATATTGAGTTAATCGAATGCATTTAGAATTAAACCAGATGCATCGAAGAGTATCTAAAGAAATTTTAATAACATTAAAAAAAAGAAAGGAACTGGTACGCAAGGGACATTTTGAAGTTGAGAGAACATTAAAAAATTGCATTACGAGAAAAAGCAATTTTGTCAACGAGAACTGCATATTAATGTATGGATCTTTACAAATTCATAATCTTTTAACTCGGTAAGAAAAACTTTGATTTAAACACAGTTTGTTGCCCATTACTTAGTAAATTTTTGTTTAATATCTTAAAACCAAATAAAGGATTCTTGAAGGGGTTTTCTCATTTTGAGGGTCCACTGTCCCATTAAGAATATTTTTTTCTATCCTTTATGATATGTATTCGAATGAAATTTCAGGTTCTTTTGCATTCACTAGCTAACGTGTCTTTTGTTTATGATCTGAAACTTGGAGATGTCTTTTTAAGTTATTTTCCAGTAAGTAGAATTCACATTTGCTTATGTTTTGCTCATTTGCATTTTTCTATTTTTTAATGCTAAAATTATTTAATGCTAATGCTATTCCTAATGCTTTCTAAAATATGAATTCTTGTAACAATAGCAGCCTCACTATGCGAGCTTAATGTCATTATTTAATTCATCTGAAATTAAAGAATCTGGTTTGAAGGCTAAATTCTATTAAATTTCAAATAATCCATTTGCTATGGTTCAGATTGACTGTTTTTTTTTTTTTTTGAGATTAAAGTAAATAAATCCCGAAAAAGTCAGATAACACCAGAGAAGTCTAATTCAAATTTACAAGATGGTATTTAAATTTTATGAGACACGGTTTACGGTTAAAGGTTAAAATCTATTATCAGAACATTTAAAACAATTTCTCTTTTAAACGGTTTAGATTTATCGTTTTTTTTTTCGTGGATAGAGGTAAAGAAAGATCCTGATAAATCAAATAAAAGTGAAGTAAAAATCCAAGCAAAATTTAGAATGTGGAAAAAGAGATAGTAAATAAATTTGTAATGCATGATAATCCAACTTATTGCGCATGCGTTAAAAAATAAATTCCATTGTTGAAATTTTTAAAGAAAATTCATTCGATTTGTTTTAACTGTTTCATCGTGGATACGGTAAATAGTACAGGCAAAATAAACTAAAAGCCAAAAAGTTCAAGTAAAATTCTCATAAAAGAAAAGAGATTGCATAAAATTTTAAGAACTTCTGCGCATGCGTCGGCCGAACTCTACTACCTACAATCATACATGAATGTGGATCTGTATTAGTTTCCGTTTACGATCTCTCAAAGTATTCATTTGATGCTTGAATATGATTGTAAATACCTGACATTTTATAGACTTTTTTTTTCTCTTTTCAGATGGGCTGGATACCAATACTTAATTTCTTATCATGCTTGTCCAGAGGGGCCACTTTGTTTATGTATAGTGGAAGTCTGTATCATGTGAAAAATAACCGCTCCTTCTGGAATGTAGCGTCAGAATGCAAATCTTCATTTTTGACATTTATACCCTGTCACATCGAAAAGTTTGAGCAGATAAATTTAGTTCCTGGTAAGAGTATTAAACGAAATATGTGTTGAAGACTTGTTTTTGTAATTTTTGTTTCAGTTGACAGGCAAGACATTTCGTTCATTTACAACGTCGGTAGCGTGTTTGATGAAATCGAAGTAAGCGGTGATGGCTGATTGCGCTAACGGTATTCTAAAACCTAGAGGACTGCGCATCTAACATCTTACCCCCCCCCTCGAAAAGAATTTTTTAATTTCATGTTTTACAAATGTTGTTGAACATCCGATCCAATGTTTGGGTTTATGACTACTAATGTTCAACTCCGTAGCCTTGTAATTTTGAACCCAATCCAGAAGACAAGGGAACTCCTGGATCGAGTATTGGGAGAAATTTCGCCTTCGTGGAGAACTTTTTGTTGGAACTAACCTGTATTTTGCGTTACATGGAGAGGAAGACGACGAGAACCTCCCACGGTTAGCATGACGGTAAGGGGACTCTAACCTATGATCCGTCTATCACTGAGAATATTTCACGTCAGCTAAGTGGTCTGTGCAAACCGGATGCGGAATTCGTAAAGACTGGGATTCGAACCCGGTTCACCTCATTGGAAGGCGAACGCTCTATCTCCTGAGCCATCGTGGCTTCCTCGAGAAGGGTTTATGTACTGCGCTCAAAGCAACCCTTGCGACTGTCTCTTCTACTTCAATCATGCAGTAAAACATTTTCCGATAAAATCGTAGTCTCGCCAATAATATTCGCCAGAAGCAAGTGTGCACTGGGGGGGGATATGCCAATTAATGTACCTCCATTTTTTAGTCAATTATGCAATTTTTATTTAATAGTAATGCTGTATAGTTTTTTTTACTTCTGTAAGTTTAAAATGCAAGCTATATTTGAACTATGAAGGAAAATTTTGTTTTTGTCCATTTTAAGGTGACAAGGGTCCTTCAAAGTTTTGAAAATCAGGCAACAGTTTGGTTAGAATGATGCGATTTTTTCCAGTATATTGGTTAAAAATTAAAAAAAAAGTATTTGATGCCCCCTTGTCGTCTTAATTTGTTTAAAAAAGTAAAAGTTCCGGGACTTGCTGCCCTGCTACAGAAACGAAAAACCACATTTTAATTTAATTTATTTACAGTGCTCATTTTGTTTGGGGAAATTTAAACCAATTTCAACCAATCTATATAAACCAAAATTAAACTTCCGCATATTATTTAGAAAAAAATTATGCTCATAAAATGTTTCTACCGTTCATATACTAATTCGGTTATGACTATTTAATTTTTAAAAGAATTTTTAAAATAAATTTGCTGTTTTTGGTTGCTTTTCTTTATCTTCTTCTTTTGAAAAAAGTTTTTCCTTTTTATTTCTTTTTTTGTTTTCTTTGTATTTCTTATCTTTGTATTTCTTATCTTTGTATAAGCTCGTCTTAATTTGGAAATGCGCTTAAAATTTTTTCATTTGTTTAAAAGTTAACCTTTTAAAATAAAATTTTCTGTCTTTTTAGATCCAGAATTATCATTTGATAAGTTGAGGTTAATAACTATTGGAAGTTCTCCAGTGAAAGCACAAAATGTAAAATTTCTTCTCAAATATTTTCCAAGAGTGCTTATTTCAAACATGTACGGTAAGTTAAATTCTTAGAAATTTTTTTCTTCTTAGAATTACTGATTTTATTTAAGATAACTGTCAGGTGAAAAGATATTTGAAGATTATAGGGGGTAAAAATTGATACCCCACTGTTGATAAGAACTCATTCAGATGAAGCAGCCTGAACTGAAGTAGCTATAAGCAGCTTTTTGAGGAGAAATGACAACACAATACAGGTTTATTTTCCTAAGTATTTTATTCTATTTCCGGTGTTGAACGGCCGTCCCAATTTCTGAGTAGACGACTATCAATATTCAACACCATAGCCTTGTAATTTTGAACCCAACCCAGAAGACAATGGAACTTCTGGATCGAGCATTGGGTGACACTACCGTTCGTGGAGGACTTTTTGATGAAACTTATCCGCATTTGCGTTAAATTGAAAGGAAATCTATGAATACCTCCCATGGTTAACCTGAAGGCAAGGCGACTCTAACCCATCATCCGTCCACCATTCAGATTATTTTACGTCAGCACTGTGGTCGGTGAGAGCCGGGTGCGGAATTCGTATCGAGCAGCCCTTGTTGGGATTCGAACCCGGTTCACCTCATTGGAAGGCGTTCTTTCTATCCCCTGACCCACCACGGCTCTCTTAAGAATTGGTATATTTCTGCAATCTGTATTAAAGGAAAATGTGTTTATCTATCTATATATATATATATAAATATATTAG